AATTTGAGAGGCACCTGAAAGCATAGGAGGCATTCATGACAGCAAAAATGTGTGTAGTTATCCTCCAGCATCACCTGGGAAACAGGCACCTGTGGACCTTGATGCAAATCCTCCATTAAACGTGACAGTCCCTAAGAATCCCACTTCCAAGACTAACCACTCTGGTCAAAGTGTAGTGAGCATCTCATCAAAAGATAGACTTAGGACCAGGAAGCCCTCAGGCAAAACTCGGGGGCTTAAACCCAATATTTACATTAGACAGGGCAATTTTAAACGTACTTTGTCTAACAACGGTGGAGAATATTTTGTTGTCATAAGGGTTTCGACACAAATACTCACTGCCAAGCAACAAAAACCATTGCCTTGGAACAAAAAGCTCTTAACTCATTTCCATGGTCACGACTCGGACTTTCATGGCGGGTATCGTGCTACCACTTATTACCTCGGTGAGCCAATGAACCGCAACATGCCAACATCCAGCATCAGAACTAATCCTGTGGAGTCTAGTTATTCCTACCAAAACAAGGGACCAGGGTGCAACCCATATGACCACTACCCTAGGACTAGGTACATCGCCCCACCTGCCAACTGCTTTAACATACCTGGACCCCGTGGTTTTTTAGGGTCGCCAAACTTTATGTACGACTTTTGGTATCCACCTCTCAATTCACAGGCCCAAAGTTGGAATCGTCCGAACTAGTACCCATCGACAAAGAACTTCAACATGCGATATCAGTAGGGAGCATAGACATGTTGATGGGCCAGCTGTCCTACGCAATAGACTTAGATGTCGCAACCCCACCCACTGCCTTGTCAACACAGACCAATGGGGAATCTCAGTTCGCTTCTAATACACAACACACATCACCTATAGGCATACTACATGGAAACGAACGTAACGAGATGGTTATAACTGATATTGTAGGTAAGTTCATTAGTCATAGAAACCTATTTACATAGTTACTAATTAGCGCACGCTCCATACCTACAAAATATCTTCCCTTAGAACAACGGCTGTGGCCACTAAACCGACGATAATACTTATCACTGAATCGTGGTGTCCACCTTGCCTCCTAGATGCGGACTTATCCGCAGATGGATACACTCTCTATCCCACTAATCTAGATCATAAGCGTGGTGGTGGCTGAGTCATTTATATATGTAACCAAGTAACGGCGAATAAGGTTGGAGACAATATACTTAATGCAGTGTCTGTCTCACTGTAAGTCAACGTACATAGTGACAAATACGAAGCGCTCATGGGTTGTAGACATCGAGTGCCATGCTCAACAGCGGAAACGGATGAACTCCTAGCTAAATCATTTACTCATGCTTCCTAATATAGTGCCAATTTTAAATTGATTGCTGGTGACTTCAATCTTTCCGAAATTAACTGGATATCTGGTTGTTGTCCATAGCTCTTCGCTGAGATCCTTGCTGTGTCAGAAACTATAGACCCACCAATATAACCTCAGTCCGATCATGAATTATGGAGGAAGTTTTAAAAGACAGTATGTCTGAATGCCTACTTGCAGAAGCTTTTATAACAAAGTCTCAGCAGGCCTTTATGAAGAGCAGATCATGCATTACATGTCATTCAGACTTTTTCAACCTCATTACGAGTAGCTGCGAGGCATGCAAAATAGTTCTTATAGTATACTTAAATATATCGAAGGCATTTGACATAGTTTCGCATAATATACCGTTCGAAAAGTTAAACGCATTAGGTATTAGCAACCCTTTGCTAAGATGGCTAAAACCATTTCTCAATGATCGCACGCAAATAACAAAAATCAATTCAGCTCTGTCTACTCCAAGATACATCACAAGTGGGGACGTGTGAGGTAGCGTTCTCGGGCCTCTTATGTTTACCATCTACATTAACAGTGTTTGCCACCGCTTTGTCACAGGTGACGCCTTTCTACATGCCGACGACCTAAAAGTTGTTTACTCCTGTTATACCCATGAGCTAGGTGGCACTATGACTGCTATTCGACATGGACTAGAAAAGCTTTCTTCTTGGTGTGCTGACACCCTTCTACAGTTCAACATCAGCAAATGAGGATGGATTCGCATTGGTAACTAACCTTGACTTGGTGCTTGAAGTATCTGGACAACAGTTACCAAAACTTAGTTCTGTCTCTGACCTAGGGCTCAGATATTCCAGTGACTTGAGTTTCTCTGAGCAGGCAGCGTACAGCAAAACTAAGTCACGCAGACTCCTAGAATGCATCATTCGTAACTTTTATGGTACTGAATCAAGGGTCCTACTCTACAAAGTATGCATCTGTCCAATTCTAAAATACCGCTCATTTTTCACATATACGTATATATAAATATATATATATGTAAATATATATATATATATATGCGTATTTCTACACTTGAAGCAGCCTCGATCAGGAGGCCCCGGTGAATGAATTACCGAGGGTTTTTCTATGATTCTACCCTGATGTGATGACTTTCATTTATGGAGAGCTGTGACATCCGAAAAAGATTTAACCTTATTACATTTTTACCTCGCAACACTCGAAGGATGCATCAAAATCCCGGACAAAAACCTACCTGAGTAAATACCGGACGGTGGGATTAGTCACAAAGGGCGTTCCTGGGACACAGAGGAGGACATCTTTGGTTCCAATTATGTGAGATTGAATCTCATGGACTTTTAGGGAAGGGCAGGTGCAAAGAGCAGCACCACCTCCTGGGATTAGGCTGAGCTGCTCTAAACGAACTTCCTCATCTTTTATGTTCCCTGTGAGCCATGTTTCACGGAAAACCATTATGCTAGGGCTAACCCCACCAACTAATGACCTTAACTTAGGTGCCTCGGAGAGCAGGCCGGGTACATATCCACAGGTACAGCGAATAAGAGTATGAGGGCCGGGGGTCCCAGAAACCAGCTGAGTTAAGGGTGTTTTGCCAGCCTTTAAATGGCCGGCTTCGATAAGTTCTTCGATAAGGCGGTGGAACCAAGAGCTTCTAGATCCACTGATTTCGACTGAGAACTGGTGCGGGATTCTTCAGTCTGGGACAAGGTCGATGAAAACTCTTGCTGATCGCCCAACCGCTCTGTCGCTGGATGTGGGTTGGCCAACGGTGAGCGCTTAAATCGCCTGTCAGTCCGCCTTTGTCCCCTGGGTCTGCACTCAGGTATCTTTATCCCTCTAGAGAGTGTGTCAGATACATTATACCAGGATTCCAAGGTGGTTCTAACCATATACGGAGGGTCAGAGGTTACTTGGAGTAGCCTAGGAGTACGAATAATTGGGAGTTGAGCCAGTGCTGCAGGACGATTAATTCGTTTGGCCCTCACATCGATTTGGAGTTTGCTGAAGATATACCCCCACTGACTGATGTCGTGGGTAAGTGTAGCTGTGTCGGTTCCCGAACGTTGGGGAATCCCGTGTATGATTACTGAGTAGCATAGTTCTTGAGAGTGGATCTTCTTGCTGTTGCGAAGACGTCCTCGCACTGGCCAGGGTCTGCCAGGCCTGATCCTGACGTCAGACAGTTTGTGTTTCACCAACTGATGGCCTTTCAGAAGGATGCCTTCGGACTGACGTGTACTATCCGGAGACACTCACAGTTCTGGGGGAGCCTTTGGGGGGAACTTACTGTGCGCCAGGTGTTGGATAGATGGACGGAAGGGAGACGTTCTTGAGAGTCTGCAAACATTCTTCCATTGGCCAAGGTCATGTTCTTCGCAATCAGTCAATACGGAGGAGCCGCTTTTCTGAACGTTGAAGAGTATGGGCTATCTAGGATTAGGGTTATGGTCTGTCTTTTGGGGCTTATTCCTCCTTGTGAATGCAGACTCAGCTTTCATGTGAGCTTTTTGGGAGTGACTAGGAAGGCCCGAGCTGCCTGCTGTGGGAGTTATTTTAGTGGTTGAACGAGGCTGGTGGTGAAAGCAGGTGGCTTCCGCCATGAGTCACAGGTGATTGGACCGGGACCTACTTTTTTCAGAACTTTTTTCAACTGAGTAAAAGGAGCAATGATCAACTTATGGCTTTCCATTAGGCTGAGTAGTCGTTATTTTGCCAGTCTTACGATCGTTCCCTAATGTTCCGTTTTTGAATGATCTGACCCGCCTGCATTTCTTCAGACCTTTCTTTCGGAGCTCATTGGGTGTGAGATCCAGGTTCATCACTGAGGGGATCTGCTCCAAAAGCATGCTGACGGGGAGGCAGTCCGCGACAGTGACGAATTCGCTACTTTTATGTCCATGAGACTTCTTTTAGTTGAGGCTGGTTTGTGTAGAGATCCCAACTGTAAGGTGGTCGGAGTTCGCCTCACCAGCTGTAGACCTATTTGGTACTTAATTCGGACCTAAAAAAAGGACAGAACCACCAATCTCCACCAAAAGGGCTATTAAGCAGTGCTTCATAGTAACCAGATGGCTGGCTGGAATCACAGGAGCACTGAGTCCACTGAGAGCAAGCTCGCAATCCATCGCCCTAACTGAGAAGCTGACATTCCTAAGGCGAACCACGCAGACGTCTTTCGAAACTGTCATTAGACTGAATAAAGGGTAGAAAAAATGTTTGTTCAAGGAGTTCTGAACCTCAGCACGGTAAATATAACAAACTAATGTACATTTGTCAAACCCCACTGTCCTTTTTGAGGCGCGCACCTGTACTCTAATTACCTCGTCATCTTAATTTTACCCCCATTTCAGGCAACTGATCGGGGACGCTAGTTTTGAAAAACTCTTCTGCCTACCAGTCACAGGAGAAATTATATATTTTGCAATTTAAGCCAACATCCAGCCGCTTCATAGGTCTACCACAGCTTGGACACAAGACAGACTGGATATATTGCATCAGAATCCTACATAAACAAAAAAGTATTCTCCAACACTTGGAAGTGAACGTCACGAAATGGTTGATACAAGCTCGAACTGGAGATATTGGATCTTAATACGTGTTGTATATTTGTTCTAACTGCTGAAAAGTGGAGGCATTTAAACGCAGCTTCTGTTACTGCGCGTATTTGTTATGGGTTTTGCTTTCTGCAGACGTGTACAGAAATCTGAAACTCAGAAAATTTCATGTGAAGATTCAACATCAGTAGATTTTTCATTTTCTTCGAATTTCTGCTAGGAAATTGAAGGCTACAGATTTTCATATGTGCGATATATTTGTATGATTATTGGTTGTGTTCTAACTGGTGGTTTTCTGCGATTGCTGTTTCACTGGTTTCCTCAGTGGATGCTATGGTGTACGCATAAAAGTTGCGGTCTACATGAAGCTCACAAAGTTAAAATAAAGGTTTGAAAATATTCTGCTGTATATTTCATTTAATGCTGAAGGATATTTCAGGAGTCTATATTCATAATGTTGTTTATCCTGAATCTGGAAAATTAAGGTTAAGTTCAGTTTTAGTCTTACTTGTTTTTGGAGTCGTTTCGCTCGCTTTTTAACGCACAAACTCAACCTTCAAATAACTATTTATTTTAAGGTTTTTGGATGACTGTCCCACAACTTTTCCTTTTCCTCTTGAAGACCAGACTCAACACCCATATTTTATACATAAAAAATTAAAATACATTTGGAATTACGAGTGTGGACAATTTGAGCTGCTACAGTGAGTTTTATATACATGATTGTCGTAATGTTCCAATCAAATATTTGAAGTTACGTTAACGTTAAATTGCTTATATAATTAGCCATTCGTAATAGGTTTCGGTCACACTTTCTGGCTCGTATTCATCGTTTCAACAAGTTCAAATTTGTGTCTCAAGATTAGTTCAGAAATAGAATAATGCTCAACTCAAACTGAATTAACTGTTGGTATTTCCAGTTACAATATTGAATATTTAACTGGTTTGGCATTTCTTGCTCATAACACAATGGCGAAACAAGGTTGCCTGATTGCTCTGTGTCCAGCTGAACAAAATAAGGTTTTTGAATCCATGACTCTGGTTGGTATTGAATACTGCGGTCGTTGAGCTAATTATAAATTAAGGACCAGTATTGGGTCATATAGTTTCTCCGACATGTACCGTTTAAGATTTCTTTAAGCTATATAATTGAAGTAAAAGAAGTGAAGAATGTACACATGTATATTTATCATAAAATTAGAATTCCGTAGTGATGTGTATGTATGCAACTTCTGTGGAACAACAGACTATGCTTCATCATTTTAGTTTCTGAAAGAACTCTTTCAGTAATTTATTTAAGACAATTTAAAAATTGCTCCTCTCGCAAACTAAGATTTCAATCAGTGACCAAAGTTATTGTAAATCGAACATTTTGGAGTTTGTAGGCTAAATTTTCCCACAGACAAGAATGATTTTAAATTACCAGGGCTAGGTAATACTTATATGTCAGTTCTCCTTTTGATAAACAGACTCTTGCTTTGTGATGGCATTAACCTCAGGTTTGTTGTACTCCTCCAGAAATTGGGATGAACGTCCATATGATGAAATACTGGATGCACAAGCTCTCCATTCGGATATGATTGAAACTCGTCGAGATTTATATGGAATTAATAAAATTGATGTTAGTCTCACTCCGATAATTAGACTTGTTTTGAATGGAGTAAGTATTTTCTTGGAATGAGTTACAATTAATTTACTTATATTAATTTACAAGATAACAGTGTTCAAAATATGATTTTAGGATTGAACTTCTAAATTTATCATTATGTTGAAGGATTTAGACTATTTGATAATCTAATAGACAGATGTACAGAAATGAGAAAATATCCACTAGAGTTTTGTGAGTTCAGCATTCTATGTCCTTACTGACCTTATGAAAATGCTACGAAAATTGCTCGAAAGTATATAATTGCCAGTGAAACGATTGGAATTTGTGGATTTTGATGAGAGAACTTTTGAAAGGTATTCGAATCAAAAAGGGAATGAACAACCTAGTACAAAGTCTGAATAAATTTCACCTGGTGAAAAAATACAGGGTTTTTTGGAAGAGGTTTTACAAATGCACGTGGAAGATATATCAAAAAAACTCAAAATCAGTTATGAATTGACTTTGTGCATATGAATTCTTCCTTGAATGTGCACATCCACAAATTCCCTTCAACATTTCGTAAGCTCCAATAGTACTAAACTCAATCTTTACAGAAAGCTTCAACCGAATCGACGAAACTGTCCTAAACTACTTATAGTAGTTAACATCCAGTCAGCATTTCATGTTCATTTAAATGGTGACTCAAAAATCATTCTAATTTAAGTAAATGAAGAAATGTTGCCAGGACACTGTTGCTACTTTTACAAATTACGTTGACATAACAGTGAAATTTAAGATATTTAAAGTCCAATATCAAGAAATAAAATAAGGGGTATATCGAATCATGGACCTAATAAAATTTGTGCAACACTTTTGGGTCTCATACCTTTGAAAAAGTATGGTGATTTTCCTCACTTCGTTTTAATTTTTTTTTAGTGTCTCACTCCCTTCCACTGTTTTCAAGTGTTCAGCTGCATAATTTGGTTCTGCGTTGAATATGAAATTTATGCCACATGTATTGCTGTGTTTTCCGTAACTTCGCTTATCTTTCAAGTTTACGAGCTTCGCAAAGTGAGCAATTTATATATTTTATTATTGTGGCATTCAAGATAAGACAGTGTTTTTCATGATAGCGACCACGCTTATTTTAATTATCTCCGCTGAAAATTTTAAAGAAGAGTTCATAAGAGGTGTGTTAAATAGCAATTTAAGATCACACAACATTCCAGCCCAGGTAAAAGAAAAACAAATGTTTTAGAGAGTTTTAAAGTCAAGCTTAGATAACTAATGTGACAGTAATACGATGCTATTATGCATTTTGCAATCAGCACCGCACTTTTGAATTTCTGTTTAAGTGTACTACCAGCAGTAAATAGTAACCATGATTTATTATGGTGAAAAAGAGCTCGTTTTGTCTTAAAATAACTGTCTTGTGAGGAAGCGTTACCTATATCATGGTGAATAAATGTAAACAAATAATAGATCTAAGGTTTTTTGTCTTGATATGCTGTGTTTTCCCAACAGTTTGGTCACAATGTATTCATGCCAATTTTCATAATTTACACTGATTAGTGTTGTTTTTCGTCTTTGTTAAAGTTATAGTATGCTTTCTCTTTAACAACCGTATCAAGATCCAAACTTTTTCATTTCTTTTCACATTATGGGATTTGGTTAGGGTTTCATGCATGCACATGATTCAGATGAAAATGCCAACTTAGGAATGGGTAGTATTCTCTTTTCCATTGTTAAAATACTGTGGGTGGTAATGTGTTAACGCGTTAGTAAGTTTCCTGCAAATTGCCAGATGATTACCTCGTGTATGACTCCTAGAGCTTAGTTCCCAAAACCTTTCAGTGCTTATCTGAAAAATAGGGTCACGGCCGATAAAAGAATTTAGCAAGGGTATTCAAAAGCTACACACTCAAATGTCTTAAAGTAAGGTTTTATAAACAGGCTCCTATATAGAGTGGTTCATGCCTTACCAACCAGTGAAATTCTTGAAAGGAAACTTACACTACAACTAAGTACGAATTTCAGAGCTTAAGAAAATCACGATGCATTTCTCAAGCCTCGAACCAGAGCTTATTGAGAATAATGCTGTATCGAAAGCTTGTCAAATGCTGCTTCCAGTTAGTCTAATCTACCAAATAGATAACTCATTTTTGTCAATAGAAAGGTTGATGTAATCTTATAAAGTAGCCGAAGTTTAAAACCTGGTTACTGCATAGTACACAATCGAAATTGTAGTGGAATAAATATAATTAGAGTTGTGTGCATTAAGTATTCTGTGACTTTTACGTTTCTATGCATCTTTGTGTACCCAAAGTGATGGGCAACTGGAAATGTTCTGATTTCGTGATTAATAATTTCTGCACTTAAATATGGATTTTTGTCACTACTAATGTTGGAACTGTAACTTAAATCTTTAGTGTTAGTTAGATGGAGACAATCGGCAAGAAGCCCCGGATCTAGGTTTCGAGCCTGTTGGCACTTATCGATCGACAGAATTCGACCAGCACTTAGGACTAGACTACATGAAGTTGGTTACCCTCCAGTGACCAACCAATGTATTGGATCTTCAGTTACAACTACACCTTGTTTCGGTTTTCTGGTAGCATTTTGAATTTCGCGAATGCTATTATGGTGATTTCTACAAACTTTCCAACCAATAAACTGTTAGGAATGTTTTAAGATCTGATTAATGTCCTTGACATACATAATGCTAGATTACTGACGCCATTTTGATGAGTCCTATTGACCTTCAACCTATTTTCAGGTTTTACTGGAGTAGGCCAGAACAAATGGTATGTCAGGTGACGCTAACTTATAGAATGTTGGTCACTTTGATGTTTGATTTTTGTTTGCGGAGTTCTTCATTCAATCGGTTTGTACGTAGGTACACTGAAATTTGTACGTAGAAGTTTTCTGATTCATCACATACTTTTGATATCCAGTGAATACAGATCAACTGTGACAGTGAGTCGTGAGTTGCCTATGGTTTTGCTTCAAAGCAGAGTTAGGTATCTACCTGAATTCTTGGCAAATAAACTTTTTTATACTTAAATTTACAATCTTCTACTGATAACAAACAACGATCTTTATATCACTCATACGTAAATCATGTAAGGAATTTCTAGTTGTCTTTTCCGTAGAATCTTATTGACAAAAATATGTCAAATTACTGTAGGGCGTGACTCAGAGATGCAACTGTTGAAAGTTCTGATGAACCAAGAAAAGTACATAATTGACTTTCACAACAAGTCATTACAGTGATCAGTCTTGTTGGTAGACATTTCGTGAACACTGGGGATGTTCGTCCATCTTTTAGTTTTAATAACCGCAGTGCCAAAGTATCTGTGATTCGTCATTTGAGCTAGACTTGACTAGCAACCGTAAAAGTGATTCGTTCTTACAATCAACTTTCCAATGGGTTATAGTGTTGTTAAGGGTTGTAGATTCAAAGTATGTTGCAAATTTGTTACATAAAGCTTCGAGGGATTCTTTTGTTTAAGAATTTCTAGAAGTAACTTTCCAACCAGATCAATGAGAGTTGTATGTGAAGTCTTCTTTTAAACATTCCAATAATTATTGGTTATCTTAGATCAGTAGTCTGACGTTTTGAACCATAAAAATCGAATTTATGCCAGGAGGTTTACTGAATCATGACAGTGGCATTTTGATAAGTGTTTTCCAAATAAATGGTGTAGAAATATCAAAGATTGACTATTTCGTTCCAGTATGCTGCTTATAAAGAAGTATGAATTTTGAAGTTAATAATTATCCCCATGTATTCTGTTGGCAGAGGAATAAAGCGTCCCATTTTTTAAACTCGTCCTGCCGTCCAATGAATGATGAGTACATATATGAAAGTGCTTGAACCTCGACCTAATGCTACCTGCCATAACGGAAAGTTAGAAGTGGTAAACAGGCTAATTCTGAAGGTTGATACTTAATTCAGCTAGCCCTTCCGATGAATTGGCATAGTGGCTTGACAAATAAATGAGATAAGATTGCTCAAAATGTATTACACAAACATATCACATTACTCGGATAAACTCCGTCTTCTCATTACATTATGTATAGTTGGGATTACTGAACTGGATAAGTTATATACATACATCTCTATTTTGACTGTGCTCTTTCTTGTAGAAAGTTGACTAATTCGACAAACATTATTCATGTCGATGTTATCATTTCAGCCTGAAACCAGGAAGTCACGAATTCAACTACTAAGGCCTTATTTACTAGATGCATGGGCCAGACAACTCGAAACTGCAAAATGCATCATTCGATGCTCCCACAGTTCACAAAAGTGCAGAGAGATTCAATAATAATTTTAAAAATGACAGGAAACAAGGATAACATAAGTTGAAGAGCAATAAGCAAATGGATAGTTGGGAGATCACTTTTGATTCACGACAACTGCTGATGCAAATGGTACTATTTCTCGTTACAATTTATTTCTCATTGTTTGTCAACCATTTGGTACTACCAAAGGACTTGCATGAGGAGCCTGTAGGCCGAAAAGACTGTTTTTTTGACACATTATACAAATATGAGGAAGTGTTGAAACCGGCTTGAAATCCTGTTTTGCTTTATGCTTAAAAATAAATATGCCTTTCACTTGTCCTTGGGCGTTTCAACTTTTCATGATACTGTAATACACTCCTTCATTTATTGACTGGTTGCATGGAAATTACCTATTTCTCTAATAAGTAACGTTTATTTATGTATTGGTATGAAGTCAGTGATTGCATATTGAATAAGTGCTTTTCTTTATCGCCGCTACTTTCGATAGGCTTATGTAGGAAATAGTTCAGTAAAGTGCTTGATATACAAAGAGGTACACAAGTTGTCAGTAATATAAGGTTTTCCACTAGACTTTATTTTTTTTCTTTGCCAGCTGAAAGTTTTGTCGATCTTTATTATTTAGATGGTTGTCGTTTACGTATTCTGTTTAATCTCATGTTTTAAATAATCCTGAGAGTGATTTTTGTGGTCAAAAATTTTTTAGTAATGTTCAAGGTGTTAACTTCCATTTGATTATTCATTAATGATATAGAATGAACGTGCATTGAAAGAAACTGTTTGCATTTCTTCTAAAGTCAGCGTATGCAGACGCCATAATAATGAGGAAGGTGAGCGAAAACTATTCTTATGACAGTTTTTAAGCTAGTTGTGCAAAGACTTGAAGTTTGAAAATTCTTTTTGCCATAATTCATATAACAGTAAGCCTATTTACATTCGTTTTTCTTCCAGAAGCGAGCTATTCAACAAGGTCCTAAAAATATTATCTACATTTTAACGTTCTATATTTTTGCTTCCGAATAACTGAATTGTAGATTTACGTTATGATCCACTCATTACCATCCTAATTACTGTGTACTATGATCAACTTCACATGGTTCTGTCCATCGTACTGAATGCTTACCAGAACATGTCCTCATATATGATATACACAACCAGCTTCAGAAGAAAATAGTATTTGATCCATTGAAAACTTTAATGTCTTTCTTTTAAAGTGTAGGATTGATAAGATAGTCAAAAGAACTACTAAAAAGCTGCTTGGCTAAGGGTGTACCTTCTTTCATAAAAATTAACGTCCATACTGTTCCATTTGTTTCTAATAGGAAAATTTATAAGTATGACATTTTACAATCATTTTATATGGTTTTACCAGACATCCTTCTACGTATATCACTATAACTTTATTCGTGATGAGTACTTCTTTGTAACTAAGAATTCACTCTCAATGAATAAAGGAGATTGTTTGACTGAGTTTATTTATTCTGTCATTACTCTTTTCATAAGTGACTGGATTCGGTAAATATCTTCATGCACGTTGCATATAATTTCCCTAAAAACGAATGTTACGACAAAATTTCTTACCTTTAGAGCTAATAAAATGTAAGTGCAATGAGTGATCCAACTGATTAGTACGTACTAGATATTAGCAGACATGTTATCTTATGAAGAGCCTAGTACAAATTAAATGACAAAATGTTTTTAACCTGATATTCTGTGACAGGTTTATTATTTTTCAGTTCGAAATTCTGATACTATAACAAACAGGCAAACGAAATAGATTGCTCTCATTGTGAATGGCAATGTATCAAGTCAGGAAGATGGTCTGTAAATTTTACCAAGTGTTATATTTGTGAAATGTATTGCATACGTAGAGACTTCATATTTTAATAGGTAGTGACACTTAAGTTCTATCGAGATTTACTTCATTCTATTGGTGTTAATTAACATATCATCTAGTGACAGAATTGATGTTACTTCTTCTGAGATATTCAGAATATAAAACATATATAATTAGTTCAGCAAGAAATTCATCACATATTCTTCTTTAACAGAGTATATATATACCGTAAATTTTGTGATTCAGTTCAGTAAGTTTTCACAAAATTAGGTTGTTCTTATACTCAAAATTTGATAAGGAATGTGATACAAGGAAACAGAAGCAATTACAGACTAGACATTAAGGGTGAAACGAAGACAGTAAATCTTGTTTGCTAGCTTTTGGTGCACACTTCTGTGTTAAGCTGATAATGGTAAAGGTCAAACAAGCGTCCATTAAACTCAAGTTTTCGGAGAGGTTAGACTGCAATTGATTCTGTTTTTACAGACAAAGGTAACTGAAAACGTGACAATTTATGTATCTGGCACTAGCAATGAGACAGTGGTGTACTCGGATTGTATAAAATATGTTCCATCATTTTAAATTTCATTGGAATGCTGCTCATTTTACAGTTATATTTTAGTTTTGTTCAAGCAAATCATTTCTGAAGTATTTAGAAGTCACGTTTTTACGGAAATTTTTATCGACCATAATTTCTTGAATTTTATTAAGCATTCCTACTATATGTGATAATTTTCATGGTTCAACAAAAGCTAGTAGGTACCTGTAACCATTAAAATAGAACAAAAACTACTTTATCATTTAGACGTGATAGTGATACTACTGTGGAAGCTCTGTTTACTGAAAATGATGTATGAACTAAATAGATGAGTACGACTTACTACTGATTCGTTACATCATCAGTTTGTGGTTGGTTTGGTAATTTTAATGTAATATATAATTTGTGCACAGTGAGGTAATCATTAAGGAAAACACTTATCCCAGTATGACATGTCCTTTCCCAGGTTGTCACCCATAGATCCTTCGGTTGTGTCATCCTTATTAAAGGAACAATCAAAATTAGTGCAATGTTGTGTTACTCTTCAGTTATCTTCGACAGTTATGGTTTTATGATTGGAAGCTTCACTGCTAGTTACAACTTTTGAAATCTGCATATGCTTAATAATTTCTTACCTGCCTTGTCGATTTCAGTGCTTTCATATAAGTAATACTGAAGAGTGTAATGCTTGTTCATTGATTTCTGCCATGTCCAGACAGCTTCAGTTTGCTAAATTAATAGATTTTAAACAGTTCAGAGGATTTGTAGGTAGAGTTTTTCTTTTACTGTAAAGTAGTAGCCACGAGGACTAGGAAATCAAACTCATCACCAGCATGACAAAGCGGTGTAGATACCAACGTTGTGTAAAATGTTTATTTAGTATCTGACATCTTGACGTATACAGCTGTCTCGATAAGAATAAAATAATGTTGCGCATGAAGATGTAACTCATATTAAGAAATGGTGATATAAGCCCACAGAAAACCTATTCTACAAAAAGATCTAAACTAACTATTTGCATATCATGTCTTAGTTCCAGTAAATTACGACTGTGATGAGTACCTTTTTTAGGAGCCCGTTTGATGAAGAATGAGCAGTCACTTATTCTCGATCTCAGGAGTAGTTTGGTGCAGCCCCCAGTTACCAAACTGAACCTGAGACCTGCTTAATAGTCGGGTCCTGTAGATCAGTTGTGTGGGCTCCAGTCGGTAAACTGGGGTTTGCTGGTTCGAATACTGCCCCCATCTAACCTTTCTGCCGAATTTAGTTATCATTCATGAACGTATGGCTATATGCTTCTTGTTGTTCTGAATTTAGTTGGTTTCTTTCCCAGAAGGAAAGTGGTTCTATTCAGATATCTTATTATGTCCACCTGAAATATTTGAATTGTAGATGTGTCAGCTGTTGTCTTTTGCTGTTTACCGTACAACCACATTTTTTTACTGTACCTATCTAGTCCATTAAAACACCCCTGAATCCCGTATTTACTCGACTTTTCAATATGTAATCTTTTGACTACATTATAGTTACAAATAATTTCAAACAGAAGCTAACCAAGTGCTAGCCATTTTGAGTGCCCTGTTACTTTGTGCTATGACTGCAAAAGTGTAGTTGAAATAATGACCTTTGGTTTTAAGGACGCTTAGTTTAAAAAAAGTTAGGATAGATTAACTGATTGAGAATTTGTACCAGTAATTCTTAAGGCTAAATAAAGTAATCTGACAACAAATTACCTTCATTGGTTATTAAGTAAAGAGATATGTTTTTATGATAAATTGAAGTCAGAAATAGTATGCAGCACGTATCTGTTTTTTCTACCAATGTTATTCTTCCAGATAAAGTGACGTACTATAATTTTTTTCGATTATTAGATTTCATGCTTGTTGATTCAACCGAACTGGTACCAGGTGATTTAATTGCTATTCCAGTAGTGGATGTTTGATGCAATGTGATGCAGTTTTACTAATGGGAAATTGTATTGTAAATGAAAGCAGCTTAACAGGTACGTCTTATAAGATTTTAACCATGAAATATGTTGAGAACTGCTGAGTTTCCGATTCACTTGTTTTCATAACTCTAAAATGTGTGATTGGCTTTCTTTCGAGTACTGAGTTTCAGTCCATAACTTGCTCAAGAAGCAAAATATAACATATTTAATGTCGATAACTCTAGTAGAAGACGAAGATTATCTGAACAATGTGACTGATGTATTTGCGCAATACATTTTGAACAGTCTGATCACACATTTACTTATCAAGACAATTTATATATGAAAATAAAAGGAAAAATTGAAGGTCAAATATAATGAATATAAAAAGGTTATGACACTAGTCTTGATAATATAATCAGATAAGGATTACCAAGGTAAACTAAGCGAAACAACAAATTGCTTTTGTACGCACAACGAGGGCTTAAATTTACGAAGGGCTAACGCTTCGGCAAATTTCAGTATGCGCCCTTGACCCTACTTATGTAGTATCTTGAACTCTGTTTTCATATTAATCTTGTGATTCATTTCGATGATATGTTTTGCTATAGATGAAGATGGAAGCTGTAAAAACTGAAGTACTGTCCTGTCCAAGTAGGAGATCAATATATTGAAAGCCGACTTAGACAGGGAAGTACTTGAGTTTCCATAGCTTTTGTCTCATGAAATATAAGAGAGGCTTAGTAAGATGCTTATTCAGTAGGATCCAAAGTATTTGTACATCTGATGTGATGGATGATGAAATGAAATTTCTGACAGTCATTTATGGAAAACAGATATCTATAACAGTTTGTGAACTATTGTAGAAAACGGCTGACTCCGAAGTCTATTATTTCTTCGGTTTCGAAAAAGATATATTTCTTAAAGTACCATACAGAGGGGAAGCGAGTAGTATGACATTGAAACAGAGATTAAAATCCATTATCAGTAAAAGATACCATGCAGCTCAGCTTATCATTATTGAGATAACAAAACACCTACTTCGCCACAAACGTTAACCTCGCATAAATGATTATGTCACATCCCATTGTGTTTACTAATTTACATGCATGTGTGGGCACACATACACAGGGAGGAGTAATCGCTCAATGCGGACTAGGGTTGTGAACATATACCCAAATGGCTTGAAAAACAATTTAACACATAAACTTTGCTAAGCGCAGTTGACAGACATCCATCTTCATCTATAGCAAAACATATCATCGAAATGAATCACAAGATTAATATGAAAACAGAGTTCAAGATACTACATAAGTAGGGTCAAGGGCGCATACTGAAATTTGCCGAAGCGTTAGCCCTTCGTAAATTTAAGCCCTCGTTGTGCGTACAAAAGCAATTTGTTGTTTCGCTTAGTTTACCTTGGTAATCCTTATCTGATTATATTATCAAGACTAGTGTCATAACCTTTTTATATTCATTATATTTGACCTTCAATTTTTCCTTTTATTTTCATATATAAATTGTCTTGATAAGTAAATGTGTGATCAGACTGTTCAAAATGTATTGCGCAAATACATCAGTCATATTATTCAGATAATCTTCGTCTTTTAATAGCGTTATCGAAATATATTAAAGGGAGCGATTGTTTCTAACATATTTAATATTAAAATTTTAAACTAAACAGTCATTTTAAAGAAACGTCAACATTTGGAGTGTTTTCCTCTCTGACTAGGTTGGAAAACGGAATAGGAGTGTTTTTGTCGATATTTTATTAAATTCTAATTTGTCGACAAAATGCAATGTTCCTCATCAAGATGGATTCCTATTAAATAATTAATATTCACTGCTCAGTTCCCTTCACTTGTGTATTTGTAAAACGTGATGATTAGACAGTCGCCATTGCAAAATAACATACATATTCCTTTTTAGGTTATGTAATATCCTCATTTCATTTAACCTTAGAGGTTAACTTCGGCTTCACAAACTTTGCCCTAACATCATGTTTTCTACTCAAACGTATGATATAATACTATAGACTACATGACTGAAATCCTTAGTTTTTCATTTGACGTAAAGGAAGATAAATTACTAGGAGGATTTTCATCTGAGTTAAAATTAATCGTGCTTATCGAGATCAGGCGGATGATATTGAATACTTTAAAGTATGGTTGATGAAATATTCGGTGTAGCATGATTTTCTTCCAAGCCTTATTATTAGTGGTTTACATACTTTATCGCTTCAGGAAGTACAAATCATGTGCAGACCAAATTGCAACGCTTCGCATCATCATAGAACAGAGCATAGAATGGCAATCAGCTCTCTACCTCAACTTCATCGACTTTGAGAAGGCCTTTGACAGCGTCGACCGAGAAGTAATTTGGAAACTGCTTCAATACTACGGAGTACCGCAAACCTTTATCCGCTTCATTTAACAACTATACGAAGATGCCACATGCCAGCCAAGTAATTCACAATGGGAAGCTCAGTGATGCTTTTGAAGTGAAGACAGGAGTGAAACAAGGTTGCCTACTATCCCCCATGATATTCCTTATTGTGGTGGACTGGATCATGCAGCAAACAGTAGGCAGCGAGAAGAGGGGGATATACTGGACGACGGAAAAGAACCTAGAAGACTTGGATTTCGCCGATGACTTATGCCTAATGTCACACAAACTTGAAGATCTGCAGGCGGAAACTAACAAGTTGATAGAAGAGGCAGCTAAGACGGGACTGCAGGTGAATATAGAGAAGACAGAGGTGATGAAGATACCGCACCACCACCATCAACAACAACAACAAACTCCAATCACTGTCAACGGGAGAAACTTGAAGGAAGTAACCTCCTTCACTTATCTAGGAAGCACTGTTTCAACTACAGGCGGGACGGACGAGGACGTCAAAGTCAGAATCGGAAAAGCAAGACAGGCGTTCATTAGCCTGAAACCAGTGTGGAGATCTTCTGCACTCAGCATGCGGAACAAGATACAGATTTTCAACACCAACGTCAAGTCAGTGCTCTTGTATGGTTCAGAGACTTGGCGCGTCACGAAAGGCATTTCCAATAAACTACAGACATTCATCAACAACTGCTTACGCTCGCTGCTGAAGATCAGATGGCCAGAAAAAATAAGCAACAAGGAACTCTGGGAACGAACCAACCAAGAACCTATCACTGGACAAATATGCAGGAAGAAGTGGAGATGGATTGGCCATGCACTGAGAAGGCCGACTGAGGACATCACGCGTCAGGCCCTCGAGTGGAATCCCCATGGGAAGCGACGAGTTGGACGTCCGAGGGTGACATGGAGGAGGTCGTGCGAGCAGGAAATGAGAGGTTGTGGGCTGTCGTGGGACCAGGTTCAAAAGATCTCAGAGAACAGAGGTCACTGGAGGCGTGCTAGTGAAGCCCTATGTTCCACTAGGAACCCAAGGGACTAATAATAATAATAATACTTTATCACTGTGTTCCATGTCATTTTCGTTTGTTTGCAAGAGGTTTTCAGACAGTGGGTTAGTGTAGAAAAAAATCGCTTTTTATTGATCACAGTAATCTGAACTTAGTAGATGGATTTAAATATCAGTTACAACCTCACTATTTTGGGGCCGCTTGCGAAGAATTAAAATGTTCTCACAATATTATAATTACTAGTGTTATTTTTCTGGGTTATACTGTCTTGAAAGCTATCGTTGTCATAAAATGATTAAGTTGAAGGCTGGTTTTTAGATATATCAGCTGAATGACGAATCCAATAAACTAAGCAAAACCGAGAATAGTTATTGAAAAACTTACCAGGGCATCAATTAAATTAGTTCACTTTCGATAATTTAGGATGTCCAAGTTACTTAATCAGTGTATATAATAACTAGGAATTTGATTTTGACCGTATTTTGATTGATTAAGTTATGATCGGAAGAGATGAATTTCACCAAACTATAAATCTACGGGGAAACTTTCATCACAAAATTTTTTGTAGTCGACTGAAATTCTAATCTTCAAAGTAGCTTTATCGTTTTCGAATTTACCACAAATGGAATAGTGGTAAATTTGTAAGCATATGTAAATATGTAGTAGATTTCTGCGAAGGTTTCGTGATCTTATTCTTGTCAGTACAACTCATCTTTTGGCATGTAGGTTCAAGTAACTCTAATGGGTACTTTAGGAACTGTTAAAGTGATCATTAGTGTTTATTTCTGTTCGGAAAAATTGTCTCTTCAACCAAACAACTTTATTCATATGAGAGTTAAACATAGGTACTGAGGTAGATTCTTTTCCGATTAGATTTACCACACAGTGAAATAGTATTATTCACAGATATAGACAAACTAAACGTAACTGGCATTTTAGTTAGCTCCTAGTTTGGCTTTTAAAGTTTCAAAAGTTCCAATTCTTTGGGTTTACAGTTTTTCCTATAAAAATCTTTATCGTAGCCGGAAGATGCAGATACGGGTAATTGAGGAATAGGTGGGACCAAATAATCGACTTCAAGAGTCTATGTACGAAACTTATGACATTTCAGATTTTACAACTTTCTAGTCATCCGTTGCGTTCCAGCTTTTGCAACATTTGTGACACACAAAACGGGCGACAAATAACTTGGGGAGAATGACATTGAAATATGTAGATTTTCTTTTAATTTTCTATCTACTGTTCTTTTCCACAACTAGGTGAGAGTGTACCAATCACGAAGATCCCGTTACCTACCGTACAATGTAAAAACACGCCATTCGATTTTCGTTCATCCGCACGACATATTCTTTTTAGTGGGACATCCATAATTCAGACACGTGGTGATATTAATAAGCGTGTGTTGGCTGTAGTAATTCGAACAGGATTTATGACGACTAAAGGAGAACTTGTACGGTCTATTATGTTTCCAAAGCCTATGAAATTCAAATTCACTCAGGATGCATACCAATTCTTGGGAGCTCTTTGTGCAGTGGCACTTGTTGGCCTTATTGTATCCATTTACCTTATGGTAGGTTTCAGTGCATGATATCTTTTTTTTCTGCAACCACTTTCTTTCTGTTTTTGCCAACTGAAGATTGATTTATTACTAGTGCAACATAGTACTTAAACTATGAATGCTTTATCGAAAAAGAAAAATCCCCAGCACTTTACGTACTAGCATGTAGCATGCTTATTTCATGGTACGCACCTTTTAAGGCAGATATCTGAATTTTACCTGCTCATATTGTCATCGAGTTAGGCATTTGGAAATTACTAAGTGTCCTCGAATACAGATCTCCTCACTTAAAGAGTGGTTTCTTCAGAGTATTATTCTTATCTTTTGTAAATAATATTATTAGATCATTATTAAAATGAATTCTTCAAAAAGGCTAATATAACTTAATCTTCTTATCTGAAATATGCTCGCTGCATTTTAGAAACTAGTTGATATGCCAGATACAAAAAGTGGTATTATGAGCTCATGAAATTTGTGGTTACATGAAATGGAGCTGGTAATTAAGAATACACCCAAGCGCCTAATCACAGAAGATTACAATGCAGTTTCTTCTTAATCGGTGTGCAGTAATAGTAAAGTTTGAGATTGATCTCCTGTGCACTATAACCTAGATGATTTTTGTCACCAGGGGACAAAATATAGATAAAAATGTCTATATGCAGTCTAGAACTCGCTCAGGCAACTAGTTCACTAGTTACTATCCGGCCCTAAGACCGGATAAACAAGGAAGGTTGGGCATAGGGCTAGCAACCCTACCCCGTAAAACCAATCTAACCACTGAAGAAACTTCAAATCACAAAGAAAATATAAAACACAATTAATCTTATTCCTCACTGGAATCGGAGAGGCGAAATGACGCCAGTTGATGAAACCCTTCGGCAAGCTAATTCGCCAATGTGTCTTCTCTCTCTCTCGATAAAAGCAAAAGTAAGCACAAGAACATAGAATGTCCGCATGATGTTTGAAGTTCGCTGGCAAGGCTGTCCAGATTGCAGAAGAAATGAGAAGATATGGCATAGAAGTGCTTGGAATCTGCGAGGAATCTGCAGATGGAATGGGGGTGGACTCTACAAACTGTCAACTGGAGAGTCGATCATCTACCCCGATATTGTCACCCAGGCGACAATCATGAGCACACTGAGTTTTGGAGTGGCTATCATGATGTCCCCAAGAACATAGAAGCCTCTCATGCGGTGTGGACCAACTTCCCCCTGCAAGATCATGACAGCAAGGTTCAACTCAAAAAGAGAGAAAGTCACAATCATACAATGCAACGCGCCAACAACTAATGCAGATCAAGAGAAGAAGGAGTAATTCTATGGACAAATGCAATCATTACTGGACAAGACCCCGGTCCAGATAGCAACATCAAAATTCTAATGGAAGGAAGAAAACTTATCGTGGGTCCAGAAGCACTCAGTGAAATGAATGGGAATAGAGAACTGTTTGCAGACTTCTGCGCACTCAACAATTTAGCGATTGGCGGCAGTGTGTACAAAAACAAGGTTGTTCACAAAGTGACATGAATTTCACCAAACACCAGGACACACTACACTGAAAATCAGATCCACTTCATCTCAATGTGAAGAAAGTGGAGACACAGCCAGCCTACTGGACACAAGATCAGATCAAGAAGGGGAGCAGATGTGGGTTCACACCACTCACTATCTAATGCAATGAACCTACCTTCCACATCAAGTTGAAAGCCACAATCAAAGAAGCTGGTGATAGACCACAGTTGAAGCTCAACACCCAGAACAGAAACTGAACTGAAGGACGAAACTGCGAAGGACATCTTCACATCAGCCAGTCATCAGGAAGAAATGGGAGATATCGAGCAACATCTGTGAAGGGAACTGCGTGGAAGAACACTGGAACTCTTTGAAAGCGACGTGGAAAGAAACCTGCACAACCGTATTACAAAGGGAGAAGAAGAAAGGAGATGGGGAATGGATGTCGACGGACACATGGAAGCTGAAAAAGGAGGTAGAGGAAGGAATATGGTGAAGCAGAAGATGAAGCAGTGTAGTGGAGGGATGAACAACGGAAAGAGGAACTGAATGCAAACTACAAAACACTAAACTGGACAAAGAAGTGAAGAAGAATGCGCGCAACGACAAAAGACACTTCTACGACACACTGGCAAGTGAAGCAGAACAGGCTGCAGGCTGCAGGTAGGAGAGACCTGAAACACCATATAAAAAATAGAAATATTAACTGGGAAGAGATAAACACAGCACATATGAAAACATTGAAAGTTAGTGAGGGAAACCTAACCCTAACCCTAAACAAAGGAAGTGATGGGTTGACCACCTCAAAAAGCTCTTAAATCTTCAACCACCTGCAACTTGTCGAGAAATACCACTGGCAACCGCAGAATTGGCAGTCAACCCAAGCCCTCCGACAAAAGCGGAAGTCCTGAACGCCATAAAGCTGCTGAAATCAGAGAAAGCAGTAGGACCAGATGGAATTCCTCCAGAAGCACTGAAAACAGATGCAGATACATCAACAGTGAACATGGCCATACCAATATTGTACAAAGTTTGGAAGGAAGGAAAGGTGCCTACCGTCTGGATGAAAGGCTACCTTGTCAAACTTTCAAAAAAGGCGACCCAAGTCATTGCAAGAACTGTCCATTTCAAGCAAAATGCTATGCAGCATCGTCCTCGAGAGACTAGAAGATGCTCTGGCTTCGAAATTACGACCTGAACAGGCTGACTGGCTTTAGGAAGAACAAATCATGTGTCAATCGAACTTCAAAGCAACACTACAATACGCATCATCATAGAACAGAGTATAGAATGGCAGTCAACTCTCTACCTCAACTTCATCGATTTTGAAAAGGCCACTGACGGTGTCGATTGAGAATTGGGAATTGCTTCATGTGATGCTACATGTCAAGTGATTCACAATAGAAAGTGACGCCTTTGCAGTGAAGACAGGAGTAAGACAAGGCTGCCTACTATCACCAGTGACCTTCCTGATTGTGGTCGACTGGACTGGATCATGTAACAAACTGAGAGGAGCTGTGAGAAGATGGGCATACACTGTTTGACCGATGAGGAGATCCTAGAGGATTTGGATTTCGCCGCGGCCGCCGATGATGACTTATCTCTATTGACTTGTGTCGCATAAACTCGAAGATCTAAAGATGAGAACCGATGAGTTGGCAGAAGAGGCGAGGCAGGGCAGTGAAGGGAGACGGGACTTCAAGTGAACGTAGAGAAGCCGGAGGTGATGAAGATACCCAACCAACAACAGCATCAACAACAACAACAACAACAGGCACCAATCACCATGAACGGGAGAAATCTAAAGAAAGTTGTCTCTTTCACCTACCCATCTCTACCTAGGCAGGATCGTTTCAACTGCAGGTGGCGGCACAGGCACAGATGGGGATATCAAAACCAGGATCGGAAAGACAGCAAAACAGGTCTTCGTGCATTAACCTGAAATTAGTGTGGAGATATACTGCACTGCACTGCCCTGCATAGCACTACACTGCACTCAGCATGAGATGTGAACAAGATCCGGATTTTCAAGAGTAATGTCAGTCAAGTGAGTCAGTGCTTCAATGTGATGGATGAGAGACTTGACACGTTACGAAGAGCATTTCCAACAAACTGAAGACATTGATCAACAGCTGCCGTCTACGTTCACTCGATGCTGAAGACTAGGTGGCCAGGAAGAATAAGAATAAGCAAGGAGGAACTCTGACTGGCTGGCAATGAACCAACCAAGAACCTATCACCCAACAAGTATGCAGGAGAAGTGTTGATGGATTGGATTGGGCATACACAGAGAAGACAGTTTGGGGACACCACGTGCAAGGTCAGGCTCTCGAGTGAAACCAAATGGGAAATGTAGAGTTGGGCGTCCGAGGTGAGGGTGACATGGAGGAGATTGTGTGAGAGAGAAATGAAAGCTTCTGAGCAGTCGTGGAGCCAGGTTGAAAGGACTGAAGTGAATGGAGTGAAATGTCGACGTGCTACTGAAGCCCTATGTTCCACTAGGAACCCAAGGGACAAATAATAATAATAATATCCAGTCTAGTTAACATCTTTTATATAAATATGGATGGAATCTAATTTCCTAGCGCTAGCAAATAATAGTCAGTTATTAGTTATCATTTGTTATTTCTTGTACTTTTCGTTGTGAATACATTTCTTACTCACATAATAAATGTCTCTTCTTTACAGTATTGGAATAAGAAGAATCTATATTACATGATTTTGAGACCATTAGATTTGGTGACTATCGTAATACCACCTATCCTGCCAGTAGCAATGAGTGTTGGAATCGTTTTTGCCCAGCGTAGACTTCGTAATCATGGTATTTATTGTATAAATCCAAATGTTATGAATGTGTGTGGTGTGATTAACCTCACCTGTTTTGACAAGGTTTGTGAAATTTTGTAAATACTTTCATTTTTATCATTTTTAATACGTGTTGTAGATCTTACCACAAAAGCCACGCATGCATTCTTTTCATAAAGGCTTACGTGTGCTGTCAATTTTAATCCGAATAAATATTCACAAATACCTTTTTCTGACGGCAGGTTCATACTTCCTAGTTTTGATTTGTCTGAATAATCTCAGGCATTGTGGATAAGTGTTGAAATATCTGGACTAATAGATAAACAAACAACAAGATAATGCTCCATGCAGCAGTTTCTCAGTTTAATTTGTAATATTTCTTGGAAAAAACTAAATAATTCGACAAAGTGATAAAACGACTACTTACTTATGGTAACCCAGAGAACTCGTATAGAAAGTCCGCAATTGTCCATATAATTCACTCTGATAACCAACTATGACATCTAACAACAGGATATCTCACTTTTTGTTCCCGTCCCATGTGGGCAGTGCCTTTAAGACAATTATGGTCGAATACTAACGTCTATCATATCTTTTAGCAGACGAAGAGCACTTCAGTGTTTTCTGTTCAACCTTTTGTTTATAGTATACAGAATCTGAGATATTATGTGTTGCTTAGTAGACTACATGCAAGTCAGTACTTTTGAAGGTAAAATAAATAAACGTTTATGTAACTTTTCTCAAACATTTAATTTATTAATTTCAGACTGGGACCCTAACTGAGGATGGCTTGGATCTTTGGGTGTTGTCCCGAATAAAGATGGAGTCCTAGGAAGGCCCGAGTTTGAGCCGTCTAAAATTGATAACATACCTTTGATTGAATGCATGGCTACGTGTCATTCTTTAACTCGAATAGATGGAGTTCTGTCGGGCGACCCACTGGATGTCAAAATGTTTCAGTCCACTAAATGGGTAAGTATTTTCCATTCACATAAATGATTTTGTGCATATATATATATATATATATATATATATATATATATATATATATATATATATATATATATATATACGTACCAATAGTTTCCCTAACAATTTCTTGTTTTGGTAATTTTTAATCGGTATTTAGATACATACATGTTAAGGAAAAAAGGTTTTTTAGCTTTTATATTTCACTCATTTTAATGAGACTATTTTGTGAAGTACATTCTTTTCACATCATATTTTTATGCAACCTGCTTTTCATTTTAAACTTTAGTATCGATAATCATCATGATTGCCACATAAAGATAATTACTCCTGAATACCTTTACCCTAAACAGTCAGTTATTTCAAAGCAAAAAACTATCACTTGGGAAAGACGAAACTACAAATCATTTAACACAGTTAAACCTAACTTTCACGATTACCCTTCCTAATGCATTTACAAGGAAGGCTATAAATTTAGATTTTAGGGTATGAAGTCACTATGGAAAAACAAAGAGAAGTTCGGTGAAAATTACACCGTAAAGACACATAGTCTAGTTCAAAGACAGGAATTACTAGTTGTGGCAACAAATTATGGGGTGAGAACATATTAGTTTAATGTAATGCTTTGATGGCAGTGGTTCGCATCCGAAATTAGGCATGAACTTTAGTGGATTAAGTATAAAAATTTCTCAATTTTCTACTCAGTAATATCTTGTTCACATTCTTGTACCGTTCTAGTGCTCTCAACTGAGTATTTTGTTACGTAGCTAACAACAACATAGCAATACAATGTATAAATTTGTTTATAAAGTAATTTATCACCACTCTTGGATTGTTCTATACTTTGTTATTTTGCAGGAATTCCTAGAAGTTGTTTCCGAAGATCAACATAAATTTGATCAAGTGGTATCTGCAATCGTTCGCCCCAAAGATTCAGGCGGTGATTTGTTTGAAGTAAGTTGCAGTAAACAAGAGATTACCATTACAATAACTACATAAATTAGTTGTCTAAGTAATAGTAGCCTCATTAAAATATTTATTCCTTTGCATCTCTTCCAAGCAGTATTCAAACGTGATCCGGTATTCACTTATACCAATGCCGAGTGCTACTTGTGAATAAATTACAACTGGTTACTAATTATTGTATTGAATAAGTATATTAGTTCATGCATTTGAGTGCTTATTTGCAAACTTCAGACTACTGCATATGATTTCTATAGCTATCTTTCTTTTAAGGGTCGTTATTGTCCTGTCTGTTATCAGAACCCGGCTGTTATTATTCTACATCAGGGTGATAGTCATTGCATAGGAACTAATATTCATCACATGCTTACAGAATACTGTATGATATTAGATGTGGTTAGATTCCACTGTAATCCTCAGAAAAGATAAGCAGGAGCTAAATACCTACTAGGTTTGTTCTTCATCAGTTTTAAACAAGTTTTTAAGCGACTGTGAGTTTTCTTATCCAGAAAAACATTTCAAGTGTAGAAACGGTAAATAGCACTGTTTTATTAGATGGTGTATTGGGAAATAAACAACTTTTAATTCCTATTAGGGTTGATTTTTTCTCTGATATTTGTTCAAATTTTTGTATTTCCTATACTTCCTCAGTGTATTTAATTTTCTGGACAATGTGGCTGTTGAGATAAATACTGGAGATAAATACATGCAAATACAATTCTAACGTTTTTATTGGCTGCCTCAAGGTTGTTTGGTCTCACTACTTTGTACTTAATCGACCGGTTTTACCTTACTTGGATTAGTGCACTTGATTAGTTTTTTTCCATATTAGTATTGTACGTATTTGATTCTCACTCCAACTGTTCGTTAAGAGAAACTCACAACTTTCCAGCAAAACGTCCTAGATTGAAACTCCGTTGCACTTACTTTGGCCCGGTTGGCGTGGTTTTTATCATAAGCCGGCGCATAATAAGTATATAAACCTGTGTTGGGTTGAGTTGAATTATATGCTTATTATTCATGATTTTTAAGTTTGGATTAAAAGTATCTATTTATTCACGGGGTTTCCAAGGATTGATGAAAACATTATTACTTAGGTTGTCGTATAAGTTTTTGTCTTTACTCCTTTCTTGGCTTTACATTTATGAATACAACGGACTTAATATTAGATCTGTTAGTTAACTCCTTCTAAGAACCTACTGATCATCGGAGTCTCATTTCATAATAAATTAACTGTCTGGTGTTTTAAAATCTGCTTTAAAATAAAAGGCATTATAGGCCTAAAATATGTAAACTTTCGGTATGTGGAGTTTGTATTTATAGTTTTGTTATCAAAGAACCATGCTTCATGATTTTAGAAATCAGATTACTTCAGCTTATCTACTTCATCATAATAACAAGGTCACTGTCTGTCCTCCTCTTTTTGTCGTGTCGATGACTGGAGTTAGTTTAAAATATTTGAAACTACAGTTGCAGCTAGTTAGTAAGTCGATAACTAAATTATCTTGGGAACATCAGTAAAGTTGCATAAAAGCAATACTTGGTATTGCATAATCTACACCACTTGATGAAAGATGCTTGATGTATGTTAACTTGATCTTTTTACTAATCCCTCTTGAAGATTATATAAACCTTTAGTCAGGTCACAGTATAACTATCTACACTTGCTGGTGTTTTTGAATAATAGTATTCTCAATAATCAAAACAAATAGGCGATTTCAGCCGTAATATGTGCATCATGCCTTACTAACTGATAATTCACGTATTTCATTTTAAAAATACCCTTGAAACGTTCGACTTCATTTAGTTGCAAAATAGTTGCTCAGCTTTTGTTACTCACCTCAATTCCCGTGCACATTCTGCAATTGAGGGATTATCTAAGCATGAATTCGTAAACGATACTCAGCAATATCATTACATTGGTCTTCATGGAGTCTGGGACTGTTCTGATTTGTGACGTGAGTCAGTGCCAGACAGTAACAGGCCTCTATGATATCTATAATTTTGAATGAAGCCCGACACAGAAAACACTACCCTATAATCTTTTTATAAACCTTATTCTTACTTTATTACTGGAGACAATAATGAGAATTTTATACCGATAACTTCTATCACACTTTGGATTGACAGATTTTTGTAAAATGTATATCTTGCATCACTCGCAATGCATTTACTGCCAGAGTATGCAAGAAATAAACGCAGACGAGTAGTTTAATTCTTCCAGGTACCCCAAAAAATGACAGAACAGGTCTCATTGACCAATATGTAGTTGATAATTTCACTCTGTCTTCAAAATAGTCAAAGTTTTGTGAACCGTTGTTTTGTTGTCATTTCAATCAGTTCAAATCCTCCTTCAGACCAATTGTAAAGTGTGAAACGTTGACCATTGGATTTTTGTCATCAGATTCTACGTTAATTGTTCATTTGGCCGTCCATACTCATAAAGTAACGGGAGTCAGAATCTGCAAATGAATAATCATCTTTTTGGGTGTGGAATATCAGATTTTTAAAAGAAATTCGAAAAAGAATGACATCTTAATGAAGGTCGATCGATCACTTCAGAATCTGTAGGTCTTATGAAGGTTTCTTGTTCAAATAGATCAAAAGTCTATTATGTGTATCGGTAAATGTCGTAGCTAGTCGTAGCTAGATTATGATTGACTGAATACTGTGTCTACAGTCATATTAAAGTGCTATGTGGCTATATATAAGAATGAGGGTGGATGCATTATCCCTCGTTTGACGTTGGTTTATATAACCAGGATTTAGAGTAGTAATGACAAGAAATCTTAGATCTGATTTCTGATAAGGCTGAGACAGCGGTGAATTTTCTGTCCGTGTCATAAAAAGGGTAGAAACATAAACGTACACGTTTTTTCCACATAACTTTACTTTTTATCTATTTCACTGCAACATCATGTTTGTATTCCTATTGATTTGTAGTTTTTCGTGTGCACATCAGTAAAATTAACTACTGGCTATCGAAATCTGTTAGAATCATTCTGATACTTTTCTATTTTATTACAACTGGGAATAGTCTTCCACACCGAAACTTCTTATTACAATTTGGTCTCTTATACCTGTTTGTTAGTTTTGGTTGACTTTTCAGATCTGGTTAGGTCCTATGAAGACTTCTTCGGCGTGATACTTAAAGCCGACGTCCATCAAAATTGGTAGTCAACAATCAGAATGATTTAACAAGTGTCACCATACGAAACTATCAAGTCACTAAATGATATTTAATGGTTACACTTAGCTGTTTCTTAATTAAAGGTGTCTATTTCACAAAAAATTTTATTTAGCCAAAATGCTAAGAAACAGTAGTGATAATGAATTACTGACCAAGCTTGTATAAAGTACAGACTATATATCTACATTTCAGCGATTCCTTTGCAACGCAAGTCACTATTTCTTTAGAACAAGAAATATATATTTTAAGGTCATTTTTGGTTTCTGAGTTAATCAAAACTAAGTTTAACTGTTAACTGTAAACGGATGATTTTCCTATTACTGTCACGTAAAAGATCTGTAGGAATGTTGGATATGCGTATACAGAAAACAAAAAGGTTTTAGTCCAAGTTTTCTAGTACGCGAAATTTAGTATGGTTTTTGATTTGTTTACTATTTACGTCTTTTTCAGGAAATACCTTATGAAATTGGCATTGTTCGTCAGTTTCCTTTCAGCTCCTCCCTACAACGGATGTCCGTAATAACACGCACATTGAATGAATCCCAGTTCCATGTATATACAAAGGGTGCACCAGAGACGATTGAAGTTCTGTGCAGACGTGATACAAGTAAAGTAATGCTTTGATGTTTAAATAATTATTATGGACTACTTTGTCAAATTATACGTAAGACAAATGGATCGACCAAGCTGTAGTTCATAAGTTTTAGTGCCATATACCTTTCACATTACTTAAAATGTCTGATGCAAATGTTTGTGAGTATAGAAAACGTCTTGCTGAGAGATGTATTATCCTTCAAGACTATATAACCAGCTGAGTGACTGTCATGTGTTTCGAACCCTACAGGTGTGTTTAGCATTGCTGGTCTCTGATTATTTCACTACCTATCATCTTCAGGTTTTCAGCTTTTCACCTAGTTTTTAAATTCCGTATTAAATTACAGTGGTAAAACCGTAAACTATGTTTTTTTTCTAACTTCAACCGACATTGAACTAGACAACAAAATTTCATGGTTTAAAAAATTTAGAAATGCCACCCATGTTTCTATTCATTATTATCTCCTGACATTGAAATTTATTTGCAAGCAATATAAACCTTGAAGTAACTTTTTGTTAGCATTTGCTTCAAGTTAGATAGAATCTTGAAATGTTGGGAAATACTAAAAATATTCCTGTTATATTCTTTACTTCCAACTCCTAACTCACCAACGTGTCAGTTACCTTCCAACAGTCATACACTGTTTTTAGTCATTTTCATCTGATATCTAGCTAATCAGATGTTGCTATATGGATAAATTCGAAAAACTCTTCAGCTGATCAGTCCTTGAATTGACTTAAGTGTATGAAATGACTAGTCACCTAAGTTGTTTAGTAAAGCGCGAACTTCATGTGTGAAGTAAACGAGATGTTGGAAGTGATCCAGCATTCATGGCTCCAACGCCATACTGAAGAAAATATTGCAGATACACGTACCGTTTACTTTCCTGTAAGCTTCAGTCTTCTTTGGGTGTCTGTTACCATGCTTTATTCGTTATGTTTCATTGTTTTTTCGGTATATTATATTTTGCATTGATTATCCTGGGAAATTAAAATGAGATTTTATGTGAGAGGCAAATATGTTTGTCTTGACTATATTGTTTTTATTTCGTTTTGTTTCTGTAGCTATGATATGTGTTCTAATTAAACTACTTATTGGGTTTGGCGTTTCATTTGTTTCGTTCTTAAATATCCCTTTTGAATGGTAGTTACAGTTACAATGTATTGTTGATGTGTTGAACTAACATGTCCAGTACTTGCCAAAATTGGTCACATCGACGCTGTTAATTATTCCTATGAAGCGTGCTATTTCATTTTATGCTTTTTTATTAGTCATCCTCATCACACTATGTATTTTTCGTTCAGAATACAAACAACTTTTAATTGTGAATAGTAAGAATGTATTGCCATTTTACTAAACATCAAAATATTGTGATTTTAATTACTAGTTAAGTACAGTAATCACTTTGATATGTCGGATACATTCTTGACTGTGTGGACACTGTAACACCCCACGCATATAAAATTCGCATATTTTACAATCTATATTGTAGATATTGAATGAATGCGCATGGTCGGTAGTACTGGTTTGATATGATCTCTTTGTCACTTAGGTAATTAACTATCTCTGCATATAAAAACAGAATTCTAATCACCATGCCATACTGAAAGACTTTACTGATCTGAAACCCTGAAAACATCTCGTATACATTGCAAACCCAGTTACTGCTAAGCAATATTTTGCAAGTCCTGGTGAAACTAAAAGACTAAAACTAGCCTACTGAACACATTTCAAAACCAAACTGATACCACGAGTGGTCTTTTGTTATTATTATGTTAACCTAAAATAATCAATATAAATCTTTAGTGAGACAGTGATTTCGAATTTGTTATACTGAAAATTAATGAAAACGTTTATTAAATCTTAAGGTCTAAGAATTCAAATTGTGAAAATCAAATTTTCTACTTTAGTTCCTACGAATTTCCATTCAAACTTGTTGGAGTATACTCGGGAAGGATTTCGCGTCCTGGCTTTGGCTTGGAGACCAATAAAGTCATCGTACTTGCGCATTTTACGTTTATCGCGAGACCGAGTTGAACATAATCTTTTGTTTCTTGGATTACTGGTGATGGAAAATCGCCTTAAACCGGAGTCTGGCCCAGTGATTAAGATATTACGACAAGCGAATATACGACCAGTTATGGTGACAGGTGATTTTTCTTGTTTGTAGTAAACGGAAACTTACAGTTTTGTCTCTAAACGTAATTTAATCTGTAACTTTTTCAGTAAGGAGTTTGCTGTACATTCGTTTTGCTCCACTTAAGAGTTTATATTGCCTGAGAACAGCGAACTTCTCAAATCTTACTAACTTGTTTTCGTAGCATTCATTGCAGTAAATTTCTGATGGCAGTACTACATAAAGTAGTCGTGCAAAATTGGTGTCAGAAAATATTTCGCAACAGCCAGACTCTTTGTCAAGAAATTAAATATGTCTTAGCCAAGCTTCACATTTTCATTTGCATAACAAGAGTTAAGAAATAGTAGGATATCGTGTGTATGGTACTGTAGCTACATCACACAGTCATTTTGAATTTTTTCGTGGCATTTGTGACGTTTTCTGCCTTAATATTCTTGCTGTTGCATGTATAGGTCGATGAATAAGTAGAACTCAATAACTGTACACGCAATTTGGTTAAAATTGCCTGTAACCAGAAGATAAGTTTTCCTGCATAAAGTCTTTCCTGCTTGAATTCAATGGACAGAAATATTTAGACGTTCTTAGCAGAAGGGATAATTGTTGCATTTACATATTGCAACTTTTGTGTAGGTTATTTTCATTTCGTTATTTCTATCCTATTCCATTATTCCTTTATGTTCTGTTGTGATTCATGACATTTTAAACTGTTACACAGCTGTGTCAAATGTTTTTTGACATTAACTCAATGACTAAATAAGCAATATGGTTTGGTTGTTGCATTCATCGGCAATCCATCAACAGTAACGTTTGTTTTCTCTCGAATTTGTGGTCCTTAGGGACGTCCAATGATATGCTTTTTTATTTCATATAAGTACAGTCAGTTACACTACCAATTTTTGTAAATATTGCTTTCAGGTGATCATATGCTTACCTCCCTTTCTGTGGCTCGAGACTGCGAGATGATCGATGAACTCGATAGAGTTGTAATCGTAACAGCTCGACCCCCTCCACTTTCTTTTCCATCCAGTGATTTTCCTTCTGAAGATCCCAATGAGAATAAACCAATACCTATAGTAAATGATAGTCTACCATTTGCAGCCAATTTCAGTATCATTAAGGATACTGCAAATACAGGAAACAACAATAATTTCCCAGATGAACTAATTAATTCCTTAGTACAGTTTCACTATGCTGAAGACCTTCACAAACCGGTGACGGAAGTTGCAACCACTAACGTACAACTGAAGCATGATTCAAATAAAGGTGACCACAAAGTGACAACAAAACTTTCATTCGTTGAACGGATCAAAGGACGGATGTCTTTCAGTCGTACGCAGAACTCGAAAGATTTTATTGGGTATGTATTTCATTCTCATTTCCCGAATATGCATATATAAATTTTGCCAGGTTAACTTAGAGGAGGTAGTATTTGAAATATTGTATTTTTATCAGCAAGAATGTCAGTTTATAGTTTATAGTTTACGTTTTTTGCCAAACAATTTAGAGAGGAGATTTGAAAGCAATGTTTCGATATAACAGTTACTGTCGAAAAGACATCAACCATTTCTGTGATACCTGAAATCTGTCTAGATATCTGTGGTTAGGAGAAATAATGGCAGACTTTTAATTCAAAATTCTTAACCATTTAAATTTTTGATTTTGAAGTGAAATCTTTAACTATTGACTCCTGTAAGCAAATTATTCATACACATTTTGTCCCTTTTACCACTTATAGGATTATGTAGTAATCAACCTACTAATAACTAATCCCACTACCTATAGACCTTCTTACGAGAGTTGTACTACCGAACTGTCTCAGTAGAATTAAGCGTTTACTATTTTACAACTTCAGAAGATGATTTTTCCAAAGTTTAATTAGAATTTATTTGATTTTATCGTTGTCTTTGTGATTAAGCTGAAAATTTGTCATTACCAGGAGGTTTATTTCTGAGGGACCGAATAATGAAAATAAAGTTAGCATAATAAACTAGGTAAGCCGAGGAACGATAGAAAATAACAGTTGGATGGTCATTTAGCAGACTGAATCAACTATCAACTCCTCGGTAGCTTTTTACTTCGGCTACAGCTAGTAAAAAAATGTGACTAAAGTATACGACGTTTGTACTTGCTTATTCAATAGTTTAGATCCATTCAGTTGAGTAGAAATTTCCATTATGAAGTATAGGGCATATGTTATTGTTTGGTGATCAAAATTTGGCCTGTATGATGTGAAATCGGTAAAGTACTTAAGTCAATCCAACTTTAAAGAAGAGTCGCTTCAAAACTGAAATCACGAAGTAGATAGACTCAGTATGACACAATATTGTCACAATAGTTTGACTTCTTTAATCCATATATGAAGAGAAATCGGATATCATGGATTATGAATTGACACTGGGATTTTATTAAGTCCATCTCAAATAACATAGGACATTTGTTGCGTTTGAATGATGAGATATTTATGTCGAATTATACATAGCTATTTGAGGTAAATTCAGGTAGGTGGTTTGAAATATTTCCGGGGAATATGAGAAGAAATATCTTCTTATTCTTACTGATTTAGTGGAAGCAAGTTAAAGTGACCTGAAAGTGACAGACGTTATGGGTTAATTACTCTCATATTACAACCCAAAGCCTGATTTATGCGACCTATCGATCATTATGATTCAAATGGTGTTAACATTGGTTTGTGATTTATCCAGAAAAGTCTTTAATGTAAACCCTGGTGTTACATAAAGATTATGATTATAATTAAGCAAAACGCGTCTTGTGGTGAAAAATTAAACGAAAGCCTCTTGAATTTATGAATTTGTATTCTACCTTTTGAGATAAGAAGCCTGAATAATATCTAAATCTTAGCATCTTTATACCGATTATTTGTTTGATGAACATGAATATTATTTGCTTATAAATATGTTAATTAGCTTACCTTATTCGACAGTAGAACGTATATCAGTCTATGCATTCTTTCCCACCTACTCACATGACAGTACAGTAATCCAGGAATATGCCTTCTTGGTGTATGAGATCTTTAAATCTGAACACAGAAGCTGGGAAATTCACTTTTGTAAAACCGACTCCTAAGCTGCACTTATTCTACCACCTTTATTAAATTCAGCATTCTTTAAAATAAGGTAAAAGTAGATCGAGCTGAAGGTCTATTTTTTGCGTTCTAGAGTTAAACACTATCATTTGTGTAGTGGAAATACTATCAGCTTTCCCCTAAGTTAGTTTACTATTCATTTTGTCGTTACCATACATAAAGGTGATAATATACTTCGAATTAATTGTGCAGGTTAATCAGTGTGTACAACAGGGTTTATAAAATTTTCAACTGCAATCAATCTTCATAACCTCTTTGAATATTGATGAAAGAAGCGATTATGTGAGATAAAAGCTTAAAAAGGGTTTGGTGATATGTAAGTATCCATTTGTCTGGACTTCACTTACGATAATTTTGATATAATTAGGGTGTACAAGCTAAGAATCGAAATTATACTTATAAATTGGGTAAGCAAAATAATGTCCAGCTCATAAAAAAAGCAGTGTTCATGAATTTCAGTTTCAGCACCATAATAGTATCACAAAAACAAGTAGGTTTTTTCATAATTACATAGGTTTCAGAATGAAAACCACTACTACTACTGCTATCAGTAGTAGTTTTTGTTGTAGTAGTAGTAGTGAATGAGGTGGTCCAATATTTTGTGTTTTTGCTATGTATGTTTATTTGTTTATCCGCGTCTACAGATAGAACATTACGCTACGGTTTTTTATGTACAATAACAAATTTCATCGGTGCATTTTTGAACACACTGTGAACTGTTATCTGAGACAGATTAAATTTTTACCCGACTTTTGTATTTTTTTGCATAAAATTAATGGTATATTTTCTCTTTTTAACTTGATAAATGATCTGTTTGGTATTTTGGACCGTTTTTGTTATGTAAGCAACTAACTTAAGTGTTTCAGTGATGTTTTTAAAACTTAAGTCGCTTTGGTTTTAGAATTGAATCATTTAACATATTCTTATTTATGTAACTGCTCAGCCCCTCCTGTTTATAGCACATTTCACTTGTGAAATAAATTTAGTTTGTTAATGTGCTGTTTATTCAAAATTACACAGTGATTATTTATCTTCATTCCGTCGTCAGTGATCTTAACGGAAATACGCTGTTTTATTTATCCCTAAACGGATAAATACTAATGTTTAATATTGATGATTTGATACACAACTTTAGAATGTTTTACGTTATAACGTATTTATCATTCAGTGTTGTCTAAATAACCGTACAGTGTCTTATTATCATATCCAGTCTAAGTGATTTTGATCAACTAGCGTATGGATAATCAAATCAGTATTTTAGCAACCGTAGATCAACTTAGCTAGAGAAAATCAAAACAGCGTACTCGTTTCAAAAGAGACAAGAGCTAAAAACAGTTGACTAATCTTGTAGAGGAAAAGATGCCTTTCTCGGTACATTTTGACTTTTCAAAATGATGATTCCGAAAAGTAAGTTTATTTAGACAGAAGTTGGACAACGTTGAATTTTTCATCACAGTTCTTCAGTTCGCGTCGCCAGCTTACTTAGCACCAGAAGATAGAGTTCGCCATGACAACAAAGTTGATAAAAAAGGCCCGTAAAAGAAATATCTTAAATACTAACAAATATGTATGCAATATTGTTTACAAGAGGTTAAAAAGAAAAGGGATTTGTATCATTATTATCGATTTCGAGTCATATGTAAACAGTTATCTTATTTACCTTGTTCATCAATCACTGTTGCACTGATCAGTTTCGAAGACACTTTGTCAGTAACCATTCCAACTACTTTTCCCTTATATCATCGTTGCAACTGTTCTCAAAATATCTTCAAATGACATAGTTTTCATCAGACTCATTCACTGAATTGAGATTTCAGAAGAGTGAAAATTCGACCACATAGGCTCGAGTTGTTGTCATGCATCACAGAATTCGACATTAGGGTTGGGCACAGTAGTGATATCATCAATATTTGAAGATAGTGAAAAATGGAAAATAGTCACCCATGACCAAGATGGGTCAATGTGTTGTTGAAATATATGGGTAGTTTTTTAAACTGGAAGGAAACATATCCTACGTTACACGACTTGAGTGAAGAGCTTCAGAAAGCAGTATCAACTAAGAATCAAAAGAGCAAAAGCTTCCGCTAAAATAAGTTGACATTCGGCTGTATTCAGCGCCAATTGACGTTTCATATCTGTAACTTTATACTGACTCTGGTATAAAGTCCTGGAATGAAGATGCATTTTTGTCGATTTATTAGATTGATCACAGTGTAACATTATTGTTTACTGGATTACGTTTCGAACATAATTTATTGTCCATAGTCATATCAAGATAACGACACAACTTTGAGATATCATTTATGTAGTTCTTATTTCCTCGTCTCCCTTGTGATATGGATAGTAAGAATCTCCACTCCTGTTACATGTATTAGGTGTTCACTTGATAAACAGAGATTCAGTTATCAATCTTTTTCTCCACCCCACTATGTTAGTTTTAAGGATTTTCACTCTCTCCCATCTTATAGTGTGGTTATATGTAATTGCATACGTAGCTATAGCCGAGCTTTTTTCTAAATTCCTTATCTTGCTTACTAGGATCTACCGATTTTGACCCAGGTAGGTTTTCGTGCCTGAATTGACCCTGGTCTACTACTTTGACGTATGCATTTGACCTCACAGTCGTTGAAAGGGATTCGGTAAACTAAATTATTCTCCCCATTTGGACCAATGGGATCTTTTAACCTACAAAGCTACTACAACAACTCAGTCTTCTATTAACAGTTGAACTCTTTTCTATTCTGATTCTATCTTTCCTCTTACTTCCATTCTCCTTTTTAGATTACTCTTTTCGTTTTGTCTCTGGAGTTAACAAGGAAAGGAGTAATAAACTTTGACAACTTTGTATATAATCTAGATAGACTAAATATTTTTTAAATAGTGGTTCCACTAATTCCGTTAATACACAGATACTGGACAATCTACCACCACACATATGTTCGAAAGGTATCTCAAAATTAAATATAATTTATTCGAAAATTCTGGTCCAATCATGTTATGTATGAATCCACAAGACACTATATTATTGCATTACGATCGTTTTGGGTGTCGGCCACATCAAAACAAGAATGACGAACTAAGCCATTTAAATATGTTGCTCCGGAATAAAACGCTAGGTTTTTGAGTTGTTGCCAAAACTTAAGACGAAAACGTCTCGAAAATAAATGTTTTTGCATAATACCGATACCACTTTAACGCTAAAGACATTTTGTATAATCCCTTAGAAAATAACACGCCTGTGATTTCAAATTTGTGCACGTAACAGATATATCACTTTATAGTTTTCTAGACATTCGTTCGATTGTATTTCTCCTTTTCTATGGAAACTGTTTTTTGCTTTGTATTTTTACTTAAACGGCAACAAAACCGGTGCCTAATGATGATATACAGTTACGAACGTTCTCCAAATGTGTGTTTTGTGAATACGGTTTATAAGTAATGGATAACCTTATGATTTACTAGCGATAATGAGGTGAGTTTAATGGTTATGAATTTGCAACATATTTTAAGGTTAAGGTTTTATCTTTTTGCTTGGATTCGATTTCTAAAGTTTATCCTTTGTCTTTTATGACTGTATTCGTGTTTGTCGTCTGATTTGTGAAACGTTTCTCATCTGGTAACTTTTGTAAGAATTGGTACAGTTTCCCTCTTTTGCTCTGTTTTCCAGACCATCAACGGTTGATGAGTGTGTAAAGTACAATTTCGGCTCTGAAGATTTGGGTAGTCATGTAGACGTTGAGAAATGTTTAAATAAAAAAGTGCATAAACCTTTGGATATATCAGAAAACTTAAAACACAAAAGCTCTACTGAGAATCGATATGCGCTTTCCATACGCATGATTGATAGACCAGATTTCCATCTAGCTATTTCTGGCAAAACTTGGTCTGTTATTCAAGAGCATTATCCGTGGCTAATACCTAAGGTAAGCTAGTTGTTATTCATAGAAATAAACATAAATGAGCATTATTCCTTTATCTCCTGTACATATTTACTATACATTCAGGTTTGCCTTTGAAGTTCTAAATCTCTAGTTGGTTTATTTCTGGTTATATTTTGTTAGTTATGACTCTAACTTAATATTAAAATATTTGTTCTACCGATTCTGTAGGCCGTGCACCACTGCTATCGGAATTTCGGCTTAGTAACCATAGTGGTATAATAAAATTTGTTACATCAAGCATCTTGTGATCCATCGTTAGAACTGTTCTTCATCAACAATTCATTTGAAACGAAAATAGTAAGTGCACTTACATTTCTGACTGACTCACTAAAGTCTTTTTCTTGTTTTCAGTTGGTTGTCAAAGGAACAGTATTCGCTCGCTTCTCTCCAGAACAGAAAGCTCAAGTAATTGAAGCTCTTCAGTCGGTTGGTTACTTCGTTTCTATGTGTGGAGACGGTGCAAACGATTGCGGGGCTCTGAAGGCTGCTCACGCTGGAATTTCTTTGAGTGAGGCTGAAGCAAGCATTGCAAGTCCCTTTACCTCAAAGAAACAGAATATAAGCTGTGTACCGATGCTCATCAGAGAGGGACGTTGTGCGCTTGTGACAAGCTTTGGGACGTTCAAATTTATGGCTGGCTACTCGTTAATTCAATCATTTTCCACCGTGATACTATTTGTCGTAAGTATTCATAATTTACTTTTCTTTCTGTGCAGATGTTGGGATTATTATCTTAAGCACTGAACTTTCAGTTGTAAGGTCCTGAATTCACATTCCACGTTACTTAATTAGACCTCATTTACAGCCTGGTGAACGAAAATGAACCCGGTTGAACTGCATTTTATCCCTGTATGTGTAGTAGTTAACTGCATGTATAGTGAAGTATGCATTTCTGAAGGCCAATATACTAGACAGCATGATTTCTTTTCAGCTTTTTTTCTGAAGCATAACTTTGTTATACTGGCTATTTGGTGGGGTATTTGTGGCACATATTTAACGAAGTCAAGACCTAGTTTGCGGCAGGGTCTCAAAGTTCACTTGACAGGACACTGAGCCATTAATTTTGAGGCTACTAGTTTTTAATCCTGTCACGAAGAAGATTTTTAAATTAACCTTCATTCATCACCCATTATCAATAATGCCAGTTTGCCAAACCATAGCCATCTCAAATGATCTCAACAACATATTTTACAGTTCACTTCCATGACTTCAGAAAAAAAGGCTGATACCTTTGAGCGTTGTACCCCAGCACTTAGCTGGATATTATCGTAGCACTAGGACTGTTGACTGATTCTGTGACTACTTGGTAAAACCTAGTCAGAAAGTAGGTTTTATACTTGACTATATCTTGACTGTAATCCATCAATAACTGTATATATTTCATCAATAATAGAGCCTGTGCATGATTCAGTTGCATTACATACATGTTTAGTTTATTATACTTCAAGCAGTAACAGTACAACAAAATCGAAACTTTTTTGTACTTCAGGAGTCAAACTTTAATCCTTATCGGTTTAAAGGATACTAAATGTGAAGTGGGTGACAGTCGCCTTCTGTTTTGGTTTACTTCAATTCAGAAAGATATAAAAAGTAGTCAACACTCTTGTTTTTTATATTGTAAAATATCATCATAGTGGTTGCTATAGTTATAGTTTCGAAAATAAGAGACTGGTAATATTATTGAGCTTCTGATTTGATGCCAATATGTATAAGTCATCTACACAGTTATTTGTTCACGTTTCATCAGTTAATCAGTTAGGATAGTTTAAACTACTTGTTTCATCCGTGTTCATTTCGCTCTCGTTACAGATCGGAAGTAATTTATCTCAATGGGAATTTCTTTATTGTGATTTCGTTATCATAACATCTTTGAGCTTAACATGTGAGTTATTGTTGCTTTTGACTATACTTAACATGCTGCACAGAATCTTTCACTTTATTGTTATCTTTGAAACATTTTCCATGTACGTTAATTACCCTAAAAACAGTTGTTTTTTTATAAATAAATAATCATAACGATGACCTTATTGTTAGTTACAGTATCCCTTATAGAATACAATTGTTTCATCATTTAAGTGATGTAAAAGATAACTTATCACCTAATGGCAACTCAAAAGTACCTCTTAAATATTTTTCAGAAGAAAAGAAAAGGTTATAAATCAGTCGTACAACTGTTTGCGTGTCATATATTATATTTTGTAATGTCACCAGTGTTTACCCTAACTTCAATTACTGTTTCTGAGCATATAATTATGAAACCAAAGTGTATTCGTCATCAGTAGATGCTGTTCTTCGACATTCATCTTCGGTTAAAAACTAGGCTTATTATAAGCGCGCTCTTCTATCCACCTCGCAAAAGATGCAAATACTTAAACTACATGGTAAAGTGGTATTCTGGAATACTTACCACTATATAATCCAGTTTGCAAACTTGCTTGTACTCTACTGGCGTTATCGCGCAATTATGAATAGAATTTATTTAAAATATTTTGTCGTTCATTTTACTGGCTACCACAGCCCAGCAAACTTCCGCTTCGTATGTTGGACGACATACAATATTTTATCTTTGATTTCTGAGTATCTGCATAACTGTCAAAATTGCAAGTGAACATAACTTTCAGGGTGGTTCATTTCACTGTAAGTACAAAATCTTGTATGCCATGTGTAAAATGATGTAGTTTTTTAAGTGTGGCACTAATAAAGATATTTCTATGCATCACCTACTTTGCTGAACATCTGTCAAAACGTTAACTTGATTTTTTCTCTCCTGCTTTCTTGGTATGAAAAATTGCATTGTGAAATAATAAGCTTCTGTACAATCTTCTTCATTGATATACCCATGTGTAATGAGAAGAAAGCGTCCTTGAAAGTATTGGTAGAAATCGCACCCTAGTGATTTTATGTTTACTAAATCGCTTGAGTTTCCTGAAGGCTGATTCGCTCATTGTATATCGAATTCGAGTATTTGCACTAATGGACTTAGTATCAGTCTTAAACACTTGATAAAGTTATGAAAACCTGGGATGTGGTGATAGAGTAAAATGAGACATTTATTTTATTTCTTAGAATTTAGTATGCTGGGATTCCACAAATAAAATATAATTTATTTGCAGTGGTGCATCACTGTCAGGCAATAATTGTGAACTACTAACTGACTTCGAGTTTTGTCTCTTTACGTCTTCATCGAAAGCCGTAACCGTTACAGTCAGATGAATCCTATGGGAAATGCTAACTTTCATTGTACCACATCTCTTAAGCATGCCTCACAAAGAGGCTGAAGTCGAAATCTTTATTCAGAAAAATTAACCTAGGTTTTCAAAGATGATCGATTCTTCACACGAGTAATTTACAAAATTCTTCCACTCACTATTTTTGAGCATTCCAGTGGGTCTTTCATAATCTTCATTACTATCAGTTTTGAGTGGGAACTAAAGATTATTTTAAGGGTTACAGAATAAAGTTTATATCGTAGTGGTTACTTCACTTGTATAGAACGTGTTTGGGAAAAGGTATAAAAGTTATGCTTCCATTTTCTTGTGGAGTTTACATATCAAATGATCTATTTTGATTTTTATGTGATCTGCTAACTGGATTCTGACTATCAAAGTTTCTCTTTTATAAAACTTTGCCAGTTGGTTATACACATGCTTATCCACGTCTTTCTGCCGAACCACCTACAATGAGGCTGTTTAGTATGGTTACAATGAGTTCGTTATTCGGTCAAGTGTTAATTGGATTCATTATTCAGTGTGCTGCATTTCTCCTGATCCGCTTCCAATCCTGGTATGTTTATATCGAATTTTTATCACGAATTTTATGAAAGTCGGTTTTCCTTAAAGTTATTTTTGTTTCCTAAGTATCACTTGTTTTTACGCCTCTTTTCTTTTCTTAACCGTTTGAAGTACTGTATTTTCATTCCAGTGAAGTATTTCACTGACCAGGGAAGTGTCCCGCTTTTTTCAAGAGCCAGATTTTGCGTTTGTACATAATTTGAAGTGCTATGCTTAAATATTCTAGCCCAATTTAGTAAAACAAATTTCATTCACGAACTCGCCAGATTAGAGATAAGTTAGCATTCATTTACATTAGATTACTGTGAAAAGATTTTATGTGATACAACGGTTGCTTAACAGCGAAATACAACTTTTTGTAATGTGTACTGCTTCTTGTGATTAATATTGTATCATAAGATGTAGTCAGCACTGGAACACCCTCTGTGATTTAGCTATCCGGTGTCAACAATTCCTAACCATTATTGCTTATTCAGTAAGCCATGTAGTTCTACTACTAAGGTGATATGTCGTTTGTTGTCTCTATTAGGGTGTAAAACTTTATACCTTAACAACGTGAAAGCCATAATTCTTAATTGACCTTCTTGAAGATCATTGAATTAGCATATTTAATGAGAATTGAAGACAAATGATGATCAGTGGGATATACGATAACAAATATACTGTTATTTAACGGACTTTGAGTACAACAACTCTTACTAATGATATGTTTCTTCTCTTGTTTAAGCGTGTTTACTATTGATTTCTAAACGGAATTGCTTTCAGGTGATGAGTACCGAAGACCATCTATGCTGCTGATCATATTTTTGTCCAACTACTGAAAGAAAGACAATAAATCAATAAATATCAGAAGGGACAAAAACAATTTTAAGTGTATTAATACTATTTATATAGAAATTGATTATTTCAAAGTTCATGCCAAACCTTAGAATAGTTGCATGCTGCTTGATTAATTATAACAACTAACTATCAACTGTTGGGCATCATATGTAGAAATAAGAAATTTCTCAAACAATTCGAGTGATGAAAACACTTAGGGGACTAACTGTTATGTGACATCGAATTATTGTCGAATTTGTGCATAAATAGCTACAAATCCTTGAATTTCGAGAAGGATGTCAAGGTGGATATAGCAAATATAAAGTCGATACAGATTCTGCCAATACCCTCTTTACACATGCAAATCCGCATATTTACCAAGTGCATACTCGTTAGATAACATTTCTTGAATGGCAAAATATATTTAAGTCGAAGAAGTGTGACGATAACAAGGTAAACTGGTTTCAAATGGAATGTTGTTCATCGTCTTCTAATGCCTTTTGATTATTTTTTTTAATCATATTTACTACTTAACGAAATTACGTGAACCTTGTAATTAGAGGTAAAGCCAAATGCCAATCTTTAAACGGTACTTTTCTGTTAGAATCGTAGTTGTGCAGATTGGAGATTTCAGCTCGACAGTGCATGACTGTTACTTATACTCATTGCTATTGCATGATAATGTGCACTTATTACAGAAAAGCTTGAATATAACTAACACCAACGAAATGACCATAGTCTCATCTCTGCTTGTGCTGGTATATGTAAATTTCAGCATAACATCTAAGAGTTATTAAATTAATGAATGTGTGTTATCTTCATTTCAAAACTGAAGCCATTCGCAAGAGAATTCAAGCGTCAAGACAGTGGTTTAAATAGACAGGAAACTACGAACTATTCACTTTAAGACTATCTCTAATTCATAAACGAAATTAAGTCGTTGTAGCAAAAAATCTTTCAAGTTACACGCAGTTTATACGAAAAGCAATCGCATAGAAAACTTGGGAAGAAAAGTAGTTATCTAATGTCTTATTTTCGAGTAGTGTTCATCAAGGAATTACCACTTGAAGAACCGTCGAAAACCTTCTTTAAAGTCAATTAATCCCCACAAACCTCAAATTGAAGTGTTTTTACATTATATGTTCATTTGCATGACGTAGAAAACAGTCTTTGTTGTTGGTACTTTATCAACTGATAGTATTTGATAAATGTCTTCTCACCACAAAGAAGAAACATTAAGCCTCAAATACTTTTATGAGAAGCATAGAAGAAAATATTCTAAATTCCTGAAAGATCATTTATATAGTTGAGTTCACTTCTCAAATCTTTTAAGAAAATTAGTATGCATGTTCAGCGTTTCTAATCTGTAATATATATTGGTTTTTAAGTGTTGTTTGGAATAATTATAAACAGAAACCCTTTTATTTATCCTAGGTAGTCTCATAAAAGTGTTTAATCCTCAAAGTTAAGAACTGTTTGCCGATTATATTTCGTACATAATGATAATTGACAAACTATATGATGAATTTCCAACTGTTAACAAACATAATATATTGGTTTTAGACAATTACGTCGCCCGCAGTTCAATCGGCCTGATGTTTTATGAATATATATATATATATATATATATATATATATATATATATATATATATCCTATAGGTTCCTAGTGGAACATAGGGCTTCAGTAGCACGTCGACATTTCACTCCATTCACTTCAGTCCTTTCAACCTGGCTCCACAACTGCTCAGAAGCTTTCATTTCTTTCTCACACAATCTCCTCCATGTCACCCTCACCTCGGACGCCCAACTCTACATTTCCCATTTGGTTTCACTCGAGAGCCTGACCTTGCACGTGGTGTCCCCAAACTGTCTTCTCTGTGTATGCCCAATCCAATCCATCAACACTTTCTCCTGCATACTTGTTGGGTGATAGGTTCTTGGTTGGTTCATTGCCAGCCAGTCACAGTTCCTCCTTGCTTATTCTTATTCTTCCTGGTCATCTAGTCTTCAGCATCGAGTGAGCGTAGACGGCAGCTGTTGATCAATGTCTTTAGTTTGTTGGAAATGCTCTTCGTAACACGCCGAGTCTCTCATCCATCACATTGAAGCACTGACTCACTTGACTGACATTACTCTTGAAAATCCGGATCTTGTTCACACCTCATGCTGAGTGCAGTGTAGTGCTATGCAGGGCAGTGCAGTGCAGTATATCTCCACACTAATTTCAGGTTAATGCACGAAGACCTGTTTTGCTGTCTTTCCGATCCTGGTTTTGACATCCTCATCTGTGCCTGTGCCGCCACCTGCAGTTGAAACGATCCTGCCTAGGTAGAGATGGGTAGGTGAAAGAGACAACTTTCTTTAGATTTCTCCCGTTCATGGTGATTGGTGCCTGTTGTTGGTTGGGTATCTTCATCACCTCCGGCTTCTCTACGTTCACTTGAAGTCCCGTCTCCCTTCACTGCCCTGCCTCGCCTCTTCTGCCAACTCATCGGTTCTCGTCTTTAGATCTTCGAGTTTATGCGACACAAGTCAATAGAGATAAGTCATCATCGGCGCCGCGGCGAAATCCAAATCCTCTAGGATCTCCTCATCGGTCAAACAGTGTATGCCCATCTTCTCACAGCTCCTCTCAGTTTGTTACATGATCCAGTTCAGTCGACCACAATCAGGAAGGTCACTGGTGATAGTAGGCAGCCTTGTCTTACTCCTGTCTTCACTGCAAAGGTGTCACTTTCTATTGTGAATCACTTCGCATGTAGCATCGCATGAAGCAATTCCCAATTCTCAATCGACACCGTCAGTGGCCTTTTCAAAATCGATGAAGTTGAGGTAGAGAGTTGACTGCCATTCTATACTCTGTTCTATGATGATGCGTATTGTAGTGTTGCTTTGAAGTTCGATTGACACATGATTTGTTCTTCCTAAAGCCAGTCAGCCTGTTCAGGTCGTAATTTCGAAGCCAGAGCATCTTCTAGTCCCCCGAGGACGATGCTGCATAGCATTTTGCTTGAAATGGACAGTTCTTGCAATGACTTGGGTCGCCTTTTTTGAAAGTTTGACAAGGTAGCCTTTCATCCAGACGGTAGCACCTTTCCTTCCTTCCAAACCTTGTGCAACATTGGTATGGCCATGTTCACTGTTGATGTATCTGCATTTGTTTTCAGTGCTTCTGGAGGAATTCCATCTGGTCCTACTGCTTTCTCTGATTTCAGCAGCTTTATGGCGTTCAGGACTTCCGCTTTTGTCGGAGGGCTTGGGTGACTGCCAATTCTGCGGTTGCCAGTGGTATTTCTCGACAAGTTGCAGGTGGTTGAAGATTTAAGAGCTTTTTGAGGTGGTCAACCCATCACTTCCTTTGTTTCGCCTCTTTGATTAGATTTTCCTCACTAACTTTCAATGTTTTCATATGTGCTGTGTTTATCTCTTCCCAGTTAATATTTCGATTTTTTATATGGTGTTTCAGGTCTCTCCTACCTGCAGCCTGCAGCCTGTTCTGCTTCACTTGCCAGTGTGTCATAGAAGTGTCTTTTGTCGTTGCGCGCATTCTTCTTCACTTCTTTGTCCAGTTTGGTGTTTTGTAGGTTGCATTCAGTTCCTCTTTCCGTTGTTCATCCCTCCACTACACTGCTTCATCTTCTGCTTCACCATATTCCTTCCTCTACCTCCTTTTTCAGCTTCCATGTGTCCGTCGACATCCATTCCCCATCTCCTTTCTTCTTCTCCCTTTGTAATACGGTTGTGCAGGTTTCTTTCCACGTCGCTTTCAAAGAGTTCCAGTGTTCTTCCACGCAGTTCCCTTCACAGATGTTGCTCGATATCTCCCATTTCTTCCTGATGACTGGCTGATGTGAAGATGTCCTTCGCAGTTTCGTCCTTCAGTTCAGTTTCTGTTCTGGGTGTTGAGCTTCAACTGTGGTCTATCACCAGCTTCTTTGATTGTGGCTTTCAACTTGATGTGGAAGGTAGGTTCATTGCATTAGATAGTGAGTGTGTGTGAACCCACATCTGCTCCCCTTCTTGATCTGATCTTGTGTCCAGTAGGCTGGCTGTCTCCACTATCTTCACATTGAGATGAAGTGGATCTGCTTTTCAGTGTAGTTAGTGTATGTGTGTGTCTGGTGAAATCCATGTTGCTGCCTTTGAATATTCTTGTTTTTGTACACACTGCCTCCAGTCACCAAATCATATTATATATATATATATATATATATATATATATATATATATATATATATATATGATATATAAGTAAAAACCAATATCTTTCACCTCCCGAAGAAATCATTTTTAACTAAAAGCCCGTAAGTATTACAAATCAAATCAAAATGTTCAATTCAACAAGCTACCTGGTTTTTCCTTTCAAATACATTTATGGTTGTCACACATTAATACACAAAACTTCTCTTCAATAGTTTCCCTTTAGATAACTGTTTACTCTTGGAACAGTGTTGAAAGTTAGATGTAAATATTTATATTTTTCTAATTTAGCCATGGTATCCATTGATTTTTTCACTTTGAAAAGCATAATTCACTAATCATGTCAAACTACTACCGTTTCTTAGTTATAATTAGGATAAACAAATTGTAGGTAGATGGAATCTGCAGGTAATATTTTGATCCTATGTAATAAAACTTTCGAAACAATCTAAACGCCGAATATAAGGTGTAGAAAATAAAATTATACTGGGAAGATACTTCATTCTGAATATTCACACTTTTAACTACTTATGTTCTTCATAAATAGTTATGCATTATAAAGGTTTACAGTCGAAGAGACTATGAGAAGAGCACTTTTTGGTATAGAATCTAGAGTTCATAGTGAAAGGAAAGAGACGTAGTTTTTGAAAAACAGCAAATATTGACTGAAGTTTGTTTAGGCTTTAATCGCTTATAAAACCAGTTATTTATCATCTTACTATCGTCTGCATATGGGAAACATAGTTTTAATCTCGGTTGCTAAACGTATCATGTTCGACTAACCAAATGGATGGTCGGTTTTGTATTTTCAGTTAAAACTTCTAGCGATTAATATCTCTCATAGTTCGTATTCAAACTAATCCACAGACATTCCTGTAGTAATCTTGGTCGTAATAATATCCTTTCAGAATATTTCTTACTGTTCTAGATAGATTTATATTTATTTTGTGTATGTGTGTTATTCTTGAAATATAATTAATTACACAGTAATGCTTTCATAGGTACATGCCATTATTTCGTACTCTGGCGATGCTGAATACCAAAATTATGAAAACACAGCAATATTTATCGTATCCAGTTACCAGTATATAATTCTGGCCATCGCTTTCTCGAAAGGTGCACCTTATCGCAATCAATCCTATCAAACTGTAAGTTGTAGGCCGTAAATGTTTAGTTATTCTCTGATTATTATTTCGTCAGTATAGTTCAGTAATGAAAACCTAATGGCGTACTGAGGCGGCCACCTCTTTCAGTATTTTTATTACAAGCACCGAACAGCTGCCTCTTTATCAGAAAATTTCAGTATTTCCCCTCTTCTCTATCTGTTTTGAGCAATAAGGCTTGAACTGTTTTAACAGATAACTTACCAACTTTTTGGTCGTACTTAGACTCATCACTTTATTATCTTTGAAAAGATATCACTGAATTACACCCAGATAACTTCTTTCGGTTGCTAAGTTATTTCGTGATTGAAGTAACCGCTGCGTTGAATACTTAAAACCTTTATTATCTAATTTCCCAAGCTGATACATCTAAAACCCTCCTCTTTGAAATATATATTGATGCAAGCAGTAACATTTTTGAAAATCATAAATACATACCTGTTATTTACTCTTATTTATTCATCATAATTACTTATAAGATTAACTCATTTTGAGTAACGTGATTTTTCGTATGGAAGTGCTGGCTATGAAAAGTTTCTCCTTTCTATCTTAAAAGTGACTGGAGAGAACTGTTAGTTTACTTCATATTCTCTAGCATATAACTGTTTTTAAAGTCCCTATGTAATATATATGCCTTTCACACTTTTTGTTTTTTTCTATTGTTTTGAATAGACATATTTGTGTTAAATATTGCCGTTTGCTTGGCATTCAACCTTTATTTGACAACGTATCCAATCACACAGATTCTTGGGCTTCTGCAGGTGAGTTAGCAGCGTAGTCTTACTCTAAACAGAATACTTGAATGTGTCAGTTTCATCATAGTTTCATTAATTTAGAACACTTGAAAACTGTACCTTTTTATTTATTGCTACGAACTGTAACATAAGGCAAAAACCGGGCTAATAGTGATCAAATTATCTAACAATTTTTTCACTTCTCTGCAAAAATCATTCTCTGAGATGCTACTGCATAGATTGTGACTTGCTTTTCGTACTGTGTAGTGCAAAACCAACCATTATACTCTTGATTTATAATCCAAACATGACTGAATGGAAGCTTTGCCACTAATCAGTTTCATGCCTATTCTTCATGCTTATTATTTGCGTTAAGTAGAGTCACATAGTGAAAGATTTGTAGTGCGAATACATAATGTTTAACTCGATTTAAACTCTCATTCATCTCAAGTTACCTTTCAATCCATGATTTACACATTTCAGTAAACCTTTATTCTGCATTTTCAAACAGGTTAGATTGAGTCGATTTAATCTAACGTACAAAAAATAAAACCAAAAGTCAATTTTTAGGAACTTGCAAAACGATTAATTTTTTATTTTTATTTATTTATCCATTGGGTTCCTAGTGGAACATAGGGCTTCAGTAACACATCGACATTTCACTCTGTTCACTCCAGTCTTTTGAAGCTGGTCCCATGACTGCCCAGAAGCTTTCATTTCCTTTTCACACGATCTCCTCCATGCCACCGTCGAACGCCCAACTTGTTGACAAAACACAATTAAGAGTTTATATTTGCTAACACTAATGTTTCCTAACTGTCTACAGGCAGTTGAAATCCTGAATGCTTACTTGACCTACTATTTAATTACTAAACCTCCTATAGTTATTAAAAGTGTTCATTCCATGTGAACTGAAATTATCATTCGGTGGTGTTAACCACTGTAGCTCTCAATTCAGTTTATTATTTCTTCAGGGTATAGGCCTTTGAAACTGCAATAAATCAGTAACTACCTCAGAGATGTCAGTTGAGGTTATGCTAATTACCCGGGGCTGGGGTCTTGTCCAGTACTGAATGCAGTTGTCTATAGAAATTGTATAAGCAGTTATTTCGAGATTGAAAATGAAAGAGCTCATCTGATTTGGTAAACAACAACGTGTCTGATATTAAGATGTGGTTTAAGTGGATATTTTGTCTGTGAAAGTTCATAAAAATGGCACGCTTCGTCAGGTTTCTGTTTCTATGTTTACATACATTCTATTTGTCATTTGCGATTGTATAACAAAATACATTTTGCTTACATATCAGTTTCTCTTTGTCTGAATAAATCGTTTTCTGTAGATAATCTGAAATTCTTTTGATTTTTAAATTCACTAAGTTTTTGTTGTGTACCGCACTACTATCATCAAAATCACACACTTTGCAGAACTGTAAAGTTATGGTTGGAAAAGAGTTTAGAGATTAAGAAGTGATAATTTTCGGAACTCACTGGCTTCCTTGTTTAATTCTGTAATATAACCTAATCGTTAATATGATACAAACATTGAAATATATGATACTGAGACACTAAAGCTAAGAAGTCAAGTAGTGACAAAAATCTTCAGCCAAGTTTCGTAGTGGTCATCATTGAATGTAAACGCAAAAACATCTTTTCTCACCTTTTGTTATCATGACATTTTGTGTAAGTAACACGTAACTGGATAAAACACCACAATTTATCGTACATACTCTTAACCTTTTTTCAAAACCCTGGCAATTGAAAAGCCCACAACCCGGTTTATATACTCACATTATAATTGAAATAACTCATTCATTTCGTGTATCTAATTATTTTCATGTTAAGGAAATCAGACATTCAAAATCAATATAGGACCTGGCAATATCGCATAACAGTCCCATTTACCTCACCTTACACCAGCCCAACAGGGCAAAAGGTAGCAAGATGAAAGGTAAAGAAATGAGGGAGAAATTATTCAAGAGTAGTAAAAAAGTGTAAATAAAGTAGAAGAAGAGGCAAGATAACAATGCAACTCGATATAACGATTAAGATGAAGATATTGTATGGAGGCATCTATGCCATAGACTAATTCTGAGCCATATCCCTGAGAGTTTTCAACCACTGATTTTAAATTTTACGTGAATTCTGACTTGGAAGTGTACCTTACTCTAAAGGGCTCAGATAATCAATCGGAAGAGGCTTTATGGAATAGCGACGTGTTTTGGTCTGATTACCATTAACCTTTTTCAAGTCTAGATGTAATTTGGCTCACATCGGGACAGGACATGTGTAACACATGTTCCATCCACTTGAAACCATAAAGGTTTACGACCTCATTAAGTCATATTTTGATCAGAACTTGGTACTTGACCTCCACTTCACTAATGTGATGGTCCGTCGACACATGGCCTATACTACTGATACTACAGTAATCAAACACTTGGAAACTTTCGATGCCTTCCACTTTTAGTATACGTCCTTCACAGTTATATAGTGGAACAGAGAGAACTGCTGCACAGTAGTACACTTGAACCTTATTATGCAACTGGATATCTTGCCGGCGATACAAATGGCGTAATTTAGGGAAAGCCAATGGAGCGTTATGCATCTATACGAAAATTTCACTAATCACTGACCTGTCGCAGCTCATTGGATTTCCAGTTAAGTGAAGTGGTCAACACGCTCATCCAGTAGACTTCCCTTTGTGGAAAAAAGGCGCTGACTCGAACTAGCCCAGAGCTAAGAATTTGCAGTGTTGTTTACATGCCCACTTGTTATATCACTACTCTGTTGTAAGTATCAAATTTCCAGTAGAAATACAATACTATCTCATGTAAAAATGTCTGACTTATGAAGTTGGTATCCAACTTTATTTCAGTTAGCTTTTCACATGTAGGCATTGCTTAATCGTGTCGTATGGTAAGACCATATAAAATTTTTACTGGCAGATACACATAATCATATTTCAACTTCTCAGGGTATGCACTAGATTTTGAAGAAAGGTAACTTGGACGTTTAAAATACATGGCTCGAGATTTCTTCCCACTTTGTTGTGTTTCGTTAAAGACATGAATATCGATGCAAAATAAGAGATACTCAGTTTTCTCTGTTCACTTAACAACTAGGGAGATCAACAAAATAGAAGCAAAAGAATAAGAGGCGGTACATGATATTGTAAAATGGCACTAGGTAAAACAAAAATAAGATCGAAATCATCAATATATGTGGTAATAAAATTCTTAGTGTTCACATTTAAAATTCACAGCAATTGAGAGACAACACTGAAAATCCTGGATACTCTTTGTGTTTGTCAGCACAGTCAAAAGAGTGACTAGAATCTAGCGACATTCGGCCACACCGTTCTTCAGCCGACCAGCCTCCCTTAATGAGACATCAAGGAACAGGTATTCCAGACTATATATTTCAGATGAGTAGCCATGATAGTCAGATTTGTCTTTCACCTTCAACACAGTCCGAAAACCTCCAGTTAGAACTCATCCACATAGGATACAACTTTGAATGAAATGAGGACTGGCAAACCAAAGATCGGCGTTACAGCATGATGAACCAAGTGACATCTCATCTCTTCTTAAATCTAATCCCAACTTAATAACATTGGTGTATAAAAGCGATCAACGAAACGAACAAAATACTTCTGTCATAACAAGGTTTTAAGTAGTTTTCTCTAATTCACAAATGTAACATTTTACTAAAGAGTCTGTAGTATAACTGCTAACCGATAAAATTTGTATTGGCATAGTAGTTAGTTTGATAAACAATATACATTTACCTATCCCATTCACACAAAAACCTGAACAAAAAACGTGATCGTTGAGATGAAATTAAGACCTAATTTGCAGCTGAGTATTGCCAAACGAATGTTGAGGCAATAGTCCTGACTTAGCAAGTTAGAATTTTTCCTCAATCAAGATTTTCTGTTAATACGTTTGTGTTCAGGCAATGGGTAATGAGGTTCTAACCCACTTTTACCAAATATCTCCTGAGCGAAGCGACAGTAAGGTAAAACTTCATACAATAAGTGTTTTTTATAGGCTTATACACAGAATCTGTACTGTATTGAGTTGCAATGTTTTGGTATCAACACCAGTTTTAACTCTAATATTTTGCGATTCAGCTGCTTATGGAGGCTATCTCTGATATTCTTAGATGGTGGGAGTATTTGTTACTTCTAAAGACCTCTGGACTACTGCAACCTATCCTCTGTAAATAGAATGTTCATAGTATATGTCAGGATCAACATGTTCATAACACTGTTTGTTAACACAGAAACGCGCTGATCAGTAGTTTTAGCCTATTGACAATAAATGGAAACTATTCTTTTGTCGTAGCATTGTACGATTGTGACTTTCCGTCCTTTTGAGTTGAACCTTGCTGTTATGATCCTGGAGGAGATTGGTTCCCACTGCCTCAGACCCTGCGAAGCTGTTGCGGACGTCATGATAGCCATTCCAAAACTCAGTGTGCTCATGGTTGTCGTCTGGGTGACCGGAGTAGATTATTGATTCTCCAGTTGACAGTTCGTAGAGTTCACTTCCATTCCATCTACTTTCGCAAATCCCTAACACTTCTATTTTATACCTTCTCATCTCTTTGGCAATCTGGGCAGCCTTACTAGGTTAAAACATTGTTCGGACATTCCATATTCCCATGTTTACTTTCGCTTTCATCAAGAGAAGAGAAGACACATCGACCAACTGGCTTCTAGAAGGCTTTCACCAACCGGGGTCATTTCGTCTCTCCAATTCCAGCGAGGAATAAGTTTTTTTCCGTTTTATATTTTCTTTGTGTTTTGAAGTTTCTGTAGCGATTGGATTGGTTTTCCGGGTAGGGTTGCTAGGCGTATGCCCAACCTTCCCTCTTTACCCAAACCTAGGACAGGCTAGTAACTAGTGAACTAGTCAACCAGGCGACGCTTCGCATCATCATGAAACAGAGTATAGAATGGCAGCCAACCCTCTACCTCAACTTCATCGACTTTGAAAGTAATTTGGCAGTTGCTTCAAAACTACGGAATACCACAAAACTTTATCAATCTCATTCAACAACTTTATGAATGCGCCAAATATCAAGTAACTCACAATGGGAAGCTCAGTGATGCTTTTGAAGTGAAGACAGGCTGTCTACTATCACCCATGACCTTCGTGATTGTGGTGGACTGGATCAAACAACAAACAGTGAGGAGCGAGAAGAGGGGGACACGCTGGACTGCGGAAAAGAACCTAGAAGATTTAGATTTCGCCGATGACTTATATCTAATGTCGCAAAAACTTGAAGATCTACAGGCGAAAACTAACAAGTTGTCAGAAGAGGCAGGGCAGCGAAGACGGGACTTCAGGTGAACGTAGAGAAGACAAAGGTGATGAAGATACCCAGCCAACACCAACACCAGAAACAACAAGAATCCCCAATCACCATCAACGGGAGAAACTTAAAGGAATTAGCCTCCTTCACCTATCTAGGAAGCACCATTTCAACTGCAGGCAGCACAAACGAGGACGTCAAAGCCAGGCAGGATCGAAAAAGCAAGACAGGTGTTCATTAGCCTGAAACCAGTGTGGAGATCTTCTGCACTCAGCATGTGGAACAAGATCCGGATTTTCAACACCAATGTCAAGTCAGTGCTTCTGTATGTTTCAGAGACTTGGTGCGTTACGAAAGGCATTTCCAATAAACTACAGACATTCATCAGCAACTGCCGCCTACGCTCGTTACTGAAGATCAGATGACCAGAATAATAAGAATGAGCAACAAGGAACTCTGGCTGACTAGCCACGAACCAACCAAGAACCTAATACCCAACAAATATGCAGAAGAAATTGGAGATGAATTGGATTGGGCATACACTGAGAAGGCCAACTGGGACATCACTTGCCAGGCCCTCGAGTGTAATCCCCATGGGAAATGTAGAGTTAGGCGTCTGAGGTGAGGGTGACATGGAGGAGATGGTGTGAGGAAGAAATGAGGGCTTTTGGGCTGTCGTGGAGACAGGTTCAAAAGATTTCAGAGGACAGAGTGCACCGGAGACGTGCTACTGAAGCCCCATGTTCCACTAGTAACCCAAGGGATAAATAATAAAAATTCTTTTGCCGCATGAGTTTTTGAATTTTTTTTCTGAAAGACGGATATCTTTTCACCGAACTTCAGGTTTCACACTAAACAATAATCTTAATTTAATTGTTCTGCATCAAGTTTGAAGTCTACTTTCAGTTCAACTGATGAGAACCTTTTGTGAATTTCAGCTAATTCGGATCCCTTCTGTTTGGTTTATATGTATTTTGCATGCTATGGTTCTGGCAAATTTTATGGCTAGCAATATCGTTGAATCCATCTTTGATGGAGTGTCTTTCCGTCGTCGTATTCGGCGTATTCGTCGAGCATTATTTCCAAGGTAAGTTGGTCACAAACTTTTCATCAACATTAATTTTTCTGGTTATGTCCGTTATTCATTAGAATAACGTGTTCTTTCTTTGATAGTACTAGTCTTTTAGAGGTAAGATTAATTACATTTTGGATATTTTTTGCGTTTAGTTATGAAAATGATGTTTTTTTAAATTTTAGTCTTACTGTTACATATTACTTATTTCCTTCATTAATATTCAAGTCTATGCTAAGGAATCAAAAATTTGAATTCAACTCACTCAGTTTATGCAGATTATGGTTGTTACTTTTTTGTTCGTTGACTGTAATTTTCTAATTGTATTGTATTATCATGCAGAAACTTATGTGCAACATGTTTAATAGCCAGTGTTATTATCCAGCTGCTGAAATCTCTATAGAGACAGTACCATTCTCGAACTTTTTTTCAGTCACTGACAATGTATCAATTTCAGTGCCAAAATAATTTAAAAAAATAGCATGACTTTAGTTTCTTTCCTAAGATCTAACAACGTAACTCATCCTCATTGTTGATGTTTATTTTTATTTGGTCCTAACCGCTAAATTTTAAGCATGTTTTTAAAGGTTCATTAAGTGTTTTTTGAAGTTACTGTATGCAGGAGAACATACTAATCATATATTCTCTGTTATTCACTGTATCCCAGACAAAATGTTTGGCTAAAGTGCAGAATTCTCGAAATATATTGCTGCGAAAATGTATTCTTTATACCCCTGAGAAGCGAAAATCAAGAAGATATGAGTACATAGAATGCTCAGCACGTAGTGAAATAACCACAATCCGCCCAAATGTTTGCCTACGATTATGTGAATCAGCACTACTAGACGTACACCACTGGCCAAACTAACACCCTTCAAGTCGACCTCAAAAGAACTATCCTTCTATAGTGTGGATGGTTGGGGAGCAACAACCCCCGTCACACTTTCAGTAGTGTGCAAAACGCCATAAAACATAAGTAACCCTCCCCCTTTATCTAGGTTGCTTTCTCGCCCTTCAACTCTTGGTACCAATGTTAATTTTATTTTAACATCCTCTCACTCTGCCGCCATTTTCAACAATCAAAGCCATTCCCGGTTATGTAAGATCTCGCTATCGGTTCACACTGGATCTTTCAATGCCCGAACCATATGTTAAATCTGGTAGCAGATATCACTCGCCGGAACTCTGGAATCTCGAGTCACGGATGCATCCTGTGTTTCTGAGACACAAATACAGGACCCAAGTATGACCAGCAACTTGACCATTGACCATTGCGGTAAATCTTCAAAATTCACTTTACACGTATCCGGAGATTCAATGGCTAGCTCACCTCTATCCACTAGTGTAGACATGGCATTGCTGTTGAGCAGAAAACGCACTCCTCGACTGGATATCAGTCAACAGCCATCTGTGTACTGTTCGACTGAGCGGATCTGTAAGAACTAAAAAGGATCGTGAAACTAACCGATATTTATTCATAATCTCAGCCCACGCACCCTGACTGCAGTTTGGATGGTGCGAAGGATGAATTGTATCATAAGCCATCACTTTCAATACAGAAAGTAAAACGTTTAGGTACAGTCATAAATACCAGGCGACTTCGACGCTCAAAGTAGGGAAGCTGAGCCGATCGGAATGACATCCTATAGAAAGACTATACAATATCCCATCCCAGAGAACCCATATTAGTGTTCGTCTGTTGCAATTCTGCTCTGACAGTCACTTGTTTCTGACCAGCACTAATTTCAAGCATAAGGAGAGACTCTGTGTCACATGGCTTGTACTCACAACAAACCAACGATGAATGCAGATAGATCATGTCGCTATAAGCCTTCGTCGGAGAGGACCCGTGGAAGACGGTCGCTATTTCTGCACTCTGTTCACGCCCTACTGGTCGGTAGTTAGGCCTGTCGGTGAATGATCAGATGTGAGCATCAAATCTGTATTTAAAGAAGAGATTGGTGAGCACTTTCCTGAGTGTGACAGCAGTGTCTATCCTTAGGGATCCTGGTGAAATATCTAGTCTGCTATAGAAACAGTGACAAAAACAGCTGGTAATCTGCATCTAAATGTTAGCAGAAGTCAGTGGATTTACTCAACGTCATCCTAACTGCTTGGTGCTAGAAAAATCCTTCCAACTGGTTCTGACAACAACGGGTGAGGGCACCCGTGCAGTTACGCCACAGGATAAGACTGTATGCCGTACTTGTTTTAAAAAGCCTGGATGTCTGTTTGGTTTTCCTTGAAAACCAATGTATAATTATCCGTTCAAATGACGGGTATATCATTCTGTGAAAAGCGTAAGCACCTTAAACGTAAATTGACCAAGAATATTCGCAACCAACCACCCGTTCGAGTTTATGCAGCTCCCCAAGTCGGTGAATTGGTCAATGCATCCCACCGCTACACTCCCTATCCCCAGACAGGGAGTAATTGCAGACCGGTTTTGAAGCATCATCTTACATTTGATAGGTGCGAAAAGCCTGCTGCCCAGCTTTCTGAAGTTTGTTGTTTTCGAACTCCGGATAGGCGTCGGTTAACTATGGACTACAGGATATTGGACACTATATTAATCGAACTGGTTCCTCTATGCTTGTCGCAAGCAGAGATTTGGAGGACCAAGATTTACGTCCCATTGAGATTCAGGCTGAATACTGGGCACCGAAACTTTGCTGAAGGCCAGTTGAACCATGCGTCAAGGTTGTATTCATCATGGTGAACAACAGTGGAACCCAGGATGCGTATTTCGTTCTACTTGGGAACCATCAGCTGAATATTTCTTCACTCCAGTGAGTGTTGTTCCTGTTGAGACTCGAACCCAGCACTCAAGACTTCAAACGCCGGCGCGTTACTCACTAGCCATTGGGGCACGATGGCTGCCTCTTGTACAGTCTTTGTCACTTGTTGTTTTGATGCTTGTAGTTTTGACCCTACATAGGGACAGGAAATTACAAGTGTCAAACAACAGCTGAAACCTGTTGCAGAAGAGGTGACCATCATGCCTTGATGGCCTAGTGGATACTGCTTCGACTTTCGAAGCAATGTATGAAGGGTTCGATCCCCAGTGGGAACAACATCACTCACTGGGATGCAGGTACATCTAGTTGACGTTTCCCAAGTAGAACAACACGCGTATCCTATGTTCCACTGCTTTTCACCAAGATGGATATAGCAGTGTGAGAGGTTCTACGTCAGTTTTGTCTATCTTTTCGCTCTCTCTCTCTGTAACGATATCGGACTATTGTACACTGATTTTATGCCACCATATTTTGTGGTTGTGTTAATCCATACATCGCACTACCCGTCCTTTTTTCCTAGAATATTGATCCCATTGGCTCCTATCATTTTACTGTTAACTATCTATGTCTGAATGATCTAACTGACCCTAGTTTGACCTATGAACTTGGTCTCACTTTCATTGTATGATATTTGGTAGACAAATTATTTTCTGTTCCCGTCAGTCGGGTCTGTAAGTCGAAAAAACTGATCTCTGGGTGAGTTTGCAGGTTTGAATACCACTCTTATTGTAGCAGCTTTCGCTTCGTCAAACAGAGCTGCACTCTGTATTGATCTGCTAGAGAGGCTTGTTCTTGAGAAGTTTGTCAACATCAACAACACCCTATAATTCACTACCTAAGGTACAGTGAATGTTTTACAACCATCTGTCTCTATCGTTCCGAACCAATAATGGGGTTGCTCGATTTCACCATTCTTCTTTGACCTTGAAGTTGATGGAATTTTCGAAAATGTTGTGAAGAGAATCCATGATAGTGGTACAAACTTTCTACCAAGCAAAAAATTTCTATACCTTGAGTATATGGATATGCAGCATAAAACAGGCTACTAAAACCATACTGAAGCAGTTAGCGATCAAGATCCGTTAGCATGGTATGTGTTTCGTGCTGTTAACGTGCAAAGTGCTTCTACAAGATTGGCGGAAACCTTCGCTCACCCTTGGTAGTGGTAAATCGCTAGAAGTTGTAAAATGTCTGTACCCAGATGGTTATGTGGTGCTGGTAAGGTATGACTAATGAAATTTCTAACAGTATATATCAGGCCAGAGTGGTATACATCAATCTTGGTTAACTGTGGCGCCGTTGTGACAACTTTTCTGTGACGTATCGGTGCAGGCAGTCTTGCTTGACGCTTGTGAAGCCTAATCTAACCGAATCAGAACGACAGACGACTCTATGTTCCATCATTATTGTCTTGATATGATTGTTAGCATCTGGCAAAACATTATGTGTGCGATTGTGAGGTGAAGCAGAGTGCTTGGACGCAATGGAGATCATCATTTATTGCGTGTACTTGTTTTGAAACGCCGGTTTCGATAGTTTCGATGTGCGTTGCGTATAACGTCCCAGCCGATCTCACACCACTCTCTGTTCCCTTTGTTCTACATAAATAAAAATTAATCATGAAGAGCATGAATAATCTAGTCTGAAATCGGAGTTCCTTTACGAGCTAAATATAAACCGAAGTCATGTACAGCGAGTAAGTCTAGTGTTGTGTCCACTGAGTCTTAATATCAACAAAGTTTATTTGCCAGAAGAAGTAAGAGAGCTGCAGTTACAAGAAATAGAATTTTCCACAGATGACTGACAAGGTACCATATGGAATTGGTACACTAAACCTCAAGAGCTTATCAGAAAAACTGAAAGAATTTGAGCAACTTCAGCCAGTTGTGGCATAAATTGTTTTATGTAAATGGATTTGAACTTACTTGAATATTTTGGTCGACATTCCACGGTGGTGTATTCAGTATTGTTTCGGAAAAATTTGTAAAGTATGTAATAATTTAACTTAGGCAGAGGGGAAATACATTTATTTATGTTATAACTTAAATCTACCTTTTTTTATATGTGAACGTTTAGTTTGTATTACTCACTTATTTTCAGTAATTTTATTATGTTACGTTTGTGATGTGATTTAGACGAGTGGAACGCAAAGCGTATGAGCGTATTCGAGAGGAGATCGATAGATCAGCTGGTGTTTGGCCACCACTTTTAAGATCCGCCAGTCTCCAAGCATTACCACGGGATTTGTTTACTGATGATGATATAGGCTTACCTACCCGTCCCAGAAGTAGGAGACTTTCTTCCGCTGTATCCAATGACACAGATATTGAAGTTGCTTCTGTTCGCAGCGAAATAACAGATCGAAGACCACTCCCTTTTAGCAGCACAGAAGGGGATATTGGTTTAAACATGGGAGTTGGAAAATCATTTTCCAATCTAGTGAGCATCAATGAAAATCAGAACTCGTGCTTTCATCTCAATGGACCAATAAAAGGACGTAGTCTTTCACTAGTAAGTCAATGCTTTGGTAAATATATTACGACAAATCTTTCCCCTCCTCGAAACACACTGGTTATTTGATGAAATGTGCAGTATAAAATTGTCCGAGTCACTTTCCGAAAGCGTGAAGCATGTCTTTTTTTTAATTAGTGACAGCGAGTTTAGTAGAAACAAAGTAATCTTACACTGTCAATCATTATACATCGTCAACACTCACTACTGGTAACGATTAAGTTCTACAGTTTGCCAGCTAGATCACATTGATACTATATTTTACACCCAGTGGAAAGATTGGCTCGGTAATGCAAATACTCAGCTTACAACCATCTATTTACGGATTCTAACTCACTTCACTTTCTTTTGTATAAAAAACCGGTTAGCATTATCACTCCACTTACTACAGATTTCAAATACAACTTATTTCATAAGTATTTACTTTGATGGTTTGCCATATTCTAACAAATACTTATTTGCGAAAAGGATTCTGCATCAATTCACTACATAACTAGTAACTTTTCTATGCTGTGGTCAGTAGTTATGCCTGCAGATGATGAAAAGTGCTATAAGTTCAAGGTTTTTTTTGTATCTATTACTTCTGTGTTATTATGTTCCTTTTTGTTTTAAGGAGAATAATAACAAATATTTTTCCGTAGTCAATTTTCAGTTTCACCTTTAAACACATTTACTGTTTGTGCTTAAGACTGCACTTTCCACTTTCTTAATTCTTCATATCTCCAAAGTCCAATCATTTTCATGAAAATAACTTTAGTTAATTGTACGAGATCAGTATTTGTGAATCTGATCCACTTATGAATGAATAAACTCGAGATCGATGAGTTTTTTACTGATTGTGACCTATCAGTTTATTCATTATACAAGTATTCATGAGACTTCGAAGAGATACTGATGGTATCTAATATCCTATATTTTGTTTTACAGAAATCAAGTTTACTTTATCCGTTTTCTTATTTTCTGACTCACCAAAACCTACTTCTATTTTCGACAGATCAAAATATTTTAAGTTTATGGTGATTTACATTTTATTGGAAAAACAAATGACAACAAATATATATTATGTGCAACTCTTATTAGGTCTTCGAAACTTTTTCTTTCATCTTTAATTATGAAAGCTGGTAAGGTGGCTTATGGCTTAAAGTGTGTAAAGAAGCACTATCTATATTGCAAAGTCGTTCATTTGAGCTGTAATTGTTTACGAAAGTTTGATGTAAATGATTTGAATTGTTTTTATTGAATTGAATTCTTAACAAATTCTTTTTCTTTTAATTAACTACAAACACCATATACAGTAATATCCACTATCGATTGGTTATTCCTCCTACATAAATAAATCTAAATGTCACCTCCAACGCTCAGATTACTGTCTATGAATACATGAATCTCTACGTTATGCCCTACGCATAAATTTCTGATTTGATTTAACAAAGTTAAATTACTCATAATAAGTGACTCAAAAGATTGAATTTATCTTCCTATACATTCGGGTTGGTCCTTGAACTTTTCTTAACACGTATGTGTAAATTGATGCTGAAGGTAATAACATAGATCAGCATTAATTCATGTAACCGTTACACATTGCAACTAACGTAGAATTTAAGCACAAGGAAATCAATTTTTCTGCAATTTAGAGTAAGGCTTTATTAAAAATATGGGTCTCACAAAAAAATAAGTAAAAGGACTGCCTGTAGGTAACACTAGCACACGGGATAACCAGAGCTTTCAGCTGCTAAACTGAATATCTTTCAAAAGTAACATGCATTTTTTTTGAAATTAAAATGAACAAAAAATAAGAATATACCTGACTGTCCCAAAGAAAAGCGTGTAACTTTGGTACTCTATGTCCAGTTATGTTCACTGATGAAAAATAGACTTTGAGCAGACATGTATTGTTGAAATGTGGTAAAGCAAATGAGTCACTGCTTCGTAAGACAACAAGCTAATACTGCTAGATTTAAGATTGTATTCTAGTTACTGTTACTCTGACAACTCAGAATAAAATTCTATTCCTATATTTGAATCAATTCATTTATAAGAGAGAGAGAAAAGTTCATTTAATGCCTTGTTTCACTAAAGGTAGATAAAAAGTAGCTATTCTTTATTGTCTTAGTCACTAATTCTGATGTTCTCTGATGCAATAACGAAATCAAGATATAAAATCAAAGTGAAACTATAATTGCTGTAACTTGTGATAATATTCTTCCTCACATTTATTTTCAAATCACTGAGTTTCGTCTTACCTACCCTATTTTTACTGTCACCGGTAATAACGTTTTCATGTAAATTCTTGTATGCCTGGATTGTTTCAAAGTCTATTAAGTTAAAATAGGTGATTTATTATATTAGGTTCTATATCATCAACTATTCAAATATCATGGTTTTGAAATTATATGCTTTTTGGCGTATTCTTGCAATTAAAGTGACAATTCACATACTTTCTGTTTACATTAGGATTCATTGCATCATTATACTACCTATGAACCTGATGTGTTTGAAAACTCCAACACGTCGAGTACACCATCAGTTTTAGAAATTCCTGTTGCCAAAAGTACAAATTCAGTCTTGGATAGTAGGGATGAGGAAGGATATAAAACAAATAGAAAAATGTTGGTGATATACCTAGTTCTTTAAATCCAAATGCTGAAGTACTTTCTTAAAAACCAACCTTATCTGAGTACCGTCAGTAATTCTTCTTGAAGATTTGTTTTGCTATGCATAATCATTTATTTCTTCCAAAGGCTTATTAAATTACTTATAATACTTGTAAATGCTAAAATAGTGTGTACTACAGTGTAATACCTAATTCCAGATAAATTGAATGACTTTCGAAATTGTCATTTGCACTTAATTTGATTTATTTGCCCTACTTAAATGCCAAAAATGTTTATTAACATGCTTTATGTAGAGAAGCGTATATGTTTGTGACGTGAAATTTTTTCTTGCACTTCATATTTGTTGCTAATTTTGCTACTTAGCAAAGAAAAAAAGTTAACATGCAAATCCAAAATACATGAAACTTGCTGATCCAACTACTACGCTAAAAATGTAAATCCAACCTCAGCTATTACTTGTCATGCTTCAATAATTATTTTATACAATTTTATAATAAAAGATTTTTGACAAATACGTTTCCTTTGTCTTAACAATGCCTAGTTTCAGTGCAAATGTAATCGTTTTCTTACAGTTTGTTACAATTAAAAATTTTGTCCAGCCAATTACATTATTTCGATTTAAATATGACCCATCATAATTCTGTAAGGTAGTAATTTCACTACATCTGTCAACAATAATGTAAATTACATCATCGACTGGACAGCTATTTTTTGGAGCGCATTCTGAAATGATGTCACTACTCTCAGGTGGATTGTAAAATAGCCTATTTTTATCTTTATTCTGATATTGTATCTTGACAGTATTCTAGGTTAAATGAAATAATTAATCTAGGGACTTATTAAACATTTGGAATGCAGTTTAACTGCAGCTGAGTTTGACAGTATAACTGCTATAATTTCTAGTGTATTAAATTTAAATGACAAAAAACAATTTAAAAGTTGCGCATGTTTTCAAAATACTTAATTTCGCAGAGCATACTGTACACCTTTTTTGTTTTGCCAATAAATGATGTATCATTGTAATCCCATCAGTCCTAAAGTTCCTATCATTTCTTCTTGAATATAATTTCCAGTCCATTTGCTTCTGTAATGTATGCTGCTTATAAGAACACATAAATAGTATGCAGCGTTATGTCACTGGGAAAATTAGCTAACTGACATCGAGTCAGTGCAGTTTCTAGAGGAAGGGATGGGACATACACGACTGAAATACAGAAGGCAAGCGAAAGAGCAAAAGAAACACAACAAACACAATTCGTCTACATTTTAAGATACAGTTAGTATTTGTGTTAAGCACTTCAAATGTGACCAACTAGTTTGTTTCCTGTTTCTTCCTGATTTACTGATTCGATGTTAATTCTGACCACTTTTCCAGTTAGATCACGTTGAATGCTTTGTGTTGTTATGAGTAAAACGCACCGGATTGCTCGATATTTATGTTGTTGAGTCTTTCACATATTCAAATGTCACCAGGTTTCCGTTGTGATACGAGTAGCTTAATAACTGATGGCTTGATCTTGGCCTTTAGAACAACAGTTATTAAATAGATGATAAGTAAAGTTTGTCTATGAATACACCACAGTGAAATGAGGTTCTTTAAAAGTATAGATTGATCAGAAGTTTTTATTCACTAACATACGCATAAGATTCACCACACTTTTACGATTATGAATTTTTTTTCACTGCACTCTTGAAAATTATGCACTTTAAATTGTGAAGTATCTTAATCATTATTTATCTCTTTACTTACTATCAATAAACCGTTAGCAGCTAAATAGAATGCAGTGTATGCTATAAAATTTGTTCTTATCATTCTTTTCGAGTTCCTTGTTGGAATTATCTATGATAAATACTGATTACTACCATAAAAGTAAGTCTACATTCTTCCAGTTATGAGCATCAGGAAAAACAAGTGCATTCAAAATTAGCAATAAATTACCATGTTAATTTTAAACTCTGGTTTAATAATTCTAGTACTTTATATCTTGTTCTTATTGCAAACTGCTGTTATATTTCTTATGATAAATTTATGTTTCAGATCTAATGTTAATATTTATTTTATTTTAAAGGAGTGTTCTAGTGTGAATAGTTACCTGTTGACAACCAGTGAGCATTGAAACTACTATGCAGGTTATGAACACTTTTATAACTGAGATTACTGTGGCAATAAAATTTCTTCATTCCAGAAAATTCTTGTTCAAAAAGTTGAAGAAGGTATTTTAAATAATAACTAAGATTGCAAAGAAAAATTCATCTGCATACGATAACTACTATGGTGTTCAGCTTTATATTGAAAACTGTTGGCTGTATGATCAGTTAAAAAATATTTTGCAATATGCAGAAAACAAATAAGCTTTGTGTCAGTCAATATTCCTGTAACGTGGAATCATATTCATAATTCTGCTACCTAAATCATCAATTCTCGTCCAAAGAGCATGTTTTGGTGTAAACCTGCTTTATCACTCGCCTGCACTTCACAATAATGCACAATGCTCTGCATGATCGGTCTCAGGAATACAAAGACTATAAGCTTTTACTGATAGATCTCAATTTCTGATAACTTTTTATGATAAAATAAGGCCAAGATTTTCACTTCGCTTTTTGTAAATCTTGTAACAAAAATAAATCTAATTATTATTCTGTTCTCTTTTGTAATTCTACTCATAGTTGGGTTTGAAGTCAATAAAATAATGGAACACAAAATACAGGTTAAAATATACATTTCGAAATTGTAGTGTTGAACCCATTGAATACTGATTAAAAAGACGTTAGTTGACAAAGTGAAATCAGTAGAAAAGATAATATTACAAAGACAAGTGATTTCCGGAGTAACCTTAAGATAAACGAGATACTAAGTTACTAATCTATTTTTTAATAGTTCTCAAAGCCATGACTTGAAAGCATAAATACCACTAATCAGAGAGTTTCTAATTTTTAACTTACGTAACCGAATACTATTATTAGACAAGTTGAGTTTTAAAATCGAAGTTGTGCCAGTAAAAGATGCTAGGAGTGTATTTATTCGAACGAATCTTATCACGCCTTTCAAAATCATGAGAAACATCAGTAACTCCGCGTTTCCCATACAGGTTGCTGTTAGTCAATATCGATGCATATCCCAGTTAATTCACTTTCTCTTAAAGATGTATTGATGACTGACAAACATGATATTGAAGTGTTTCCCTATTAACCACTTACTTGGAATAGCAACCTACAATGTTCTCGTAATTGTATTATTTATGTTAAAAGTACAAAATAAACAATGAAAAGGTGAAATAAGTTTGTCTCAAATATATAATCCTGTTGACCAAACAGGGGAATACCACAATCTGTTTTTGTTATCTTGAAGAATAGCTATGACTTACAAATCAGTTTCGAGCCATTGAATGATAGTCGGACGACACAGTTTGAAAACAGGAATAAGATTCTGATTTCTTAACTTGTCACCCACAAGGAAAGATAATTGATCTCTGTAGAGAGCAACCCACGTATACCGAAAACTTATATTTTTCATCAGCGGAAAATCCTAAATTAGGTTTGGTGTGTTGCTGCAGTTTGCGTTAGAAGTTTGCCTTTTGGCAAGTCTGGGATATGATATATGCAAAGTGTAAAAAACATATGCACACTGCTAGAAGAAACGTACATATCATCTGTGGTTGACAAATTGGTGAGTTCTGAATGCTTAGAATTCTGTAAGCATTGTCAACCTGTGAGTTTGAAAATAATGGAAAGTAATACAGGTAAATTATAGTGATTATCTATTAGATTAGATTTTTATGTGCTCAAGAACGAACAAAATGCGCTCAACCACCTTTTGGATATCCGTGGAATAACCACTGGCTGCCTTAACCTCAGTAGGTAGAGCTACACTCTAACCCGTGACTCAGTGGTTGAAAGTTATTTCCTAAAACCCCTACGCCACAGCTCATCAATGTATTATGAGCTGCTATGTGAACGCTTCTGTACAAAGTCCAAATTGAACAATAGAAAACCAGTTGAGGATTCTTAGTTGTAACACCGTCTGAGTGTCCCTTAGAGAAAAAGATTGATGTGGAACGCAACAGTTTGTCACCCGAAGTTTTCAAGGATGGAGGTAGCAAACTGCTGATTACTGAGGGAGGTGCTAGGTAGTGTTTAGGAATCAGAGTTATTTCAAACAAACTGGTCTCCTGTGGATGAAACTGAAAGAAAAAGAAGTTAATTTTGAGCGTGATAGCGATAAAAACAAGGAAAGCTGTTATCACTTACAGTTAAATACGTAATTCTCGTTAGTTTGAACACTCACTGAAGTAGACTGGTTGCTGATTCTTAGTCTGTAAAACCATATATGCACAAGAGCAACCAAATTTAAAAATAAATATTACTCCAAGAAAACATCTACTGAGATTTATATGTTTTTTAGTCAAGAGAGATACTGTCTTCTCGAAACCTACTTATCAACAAAATACAACTCAACCTGTGATAAGGCTAGGATATGAATACAACATATTGATCAAACATGAAAGCTTATTATTACAACACAACCATGGTACAGCAAGGGCGTCAAGAAAAGCACCACACAAATGGTATAACAACACTGAAGACAAACGAAAAGGGATAAAAAAGGAATAGAATGATTAGAAAGACAGTCCAGTGAGATACATTCAAAACAAAGCATTAAATACTTTTCAGCAGCAGAAGATAGAAGGAAGCTACAGCGTGACAGCCACTAGCTTTGATTGTCAGCCATATCTGTTAACGTCTCAACTGACTGAGTGGTGTGATCTCTCGGACCCACATATGGAGTGGTGATGCATCCACAGATACTAACTCAACACAAATATGCATCATCCCATGGCGCTTTCACACACTGACCACCCCTTTACTTCTTCCATCCAGCCTTACGGTTAACAAACAATGAATGGTATGGAAGGCGGTGGGATGATATGCGTAACACATGTTTAAGCCACCAAAGCCAGTGTTTCACTTGTTGAATGAGAATTTCCATAATTTCCAAATACATGCTGTTATGCCTCAGAATTACTTAAATGGTGTTGACACCGGATACGAGCATTCCTACTGAGACAACGATGATCGAACAAACAGAGTTGTCACACATCCTCAACCTGAAGAGGGCAGATTTCACAGGCGTAGAGCAGAACTGCTCGCTCTGAAGCGTTGTGAACCCAACATTTTACCGTCATACTAACGTCGTGACGGCGCCAAAGGTGATTCAGATTGGTGTATACCACTCGATCTTTCGATTTGGGTTGAAAGTTTCATCACTTACAAAACTACTTAGATATACGAACTTTTCTGCTACTTCGAAAGGCTCACCACCGAGGGTGAGCATCGGACTAGGTTTCTGACGATCTTACAAAAGTACTTTGCACTTCACTGGTGCAAACCACATACCATACTTACGGAGAGTAATCACCAACCGATTGTGATTTGAGTAGTCTTAGTGTTATCACACAGTCAGATGATATCGTCCGCATGTCCAAGGTTGAATATTCGTCCTCTTGTTAGCAGATCTACACCACCATCACGCGCTTCCTTCAGAGCTGTCTCAAGAATGTCATCGGCGACAAATTTAAGGCGGAATGGACCAATTGGGCTACCCTACCTAACCGTGAGGTGTTATAACATAGGGCTTCCAAGATATTAATAAATTTCTCTGGCACGCCGCTCTTCAACAAACATATCCAGAGTACAGCTTCGTATGAGGAACAGTCGCTGATCTGCAATATGTCTGGCGGAAGGTAAAGACATGATGAATCCATCCACGACCTGAACGGGGCCCGATCTGCTCCTCACGAATCATTTCCTTACCTGTTTTGAAAGATCTGCGAAGTGCGACAGTAGCTAATATTTTCGACTCTACTGGTAACGGACTAATATCCCGTTAGCCATCCAAACGACTCTCCTCCCAGTTCAGATGTTCGACTTGTGCATTCAGTCCGCAGCTACCACCACAATATCTGTCGAGAGCATATGGTTGAGAAGGTCACTTAGCTGATGATAGAATTCGTCCTTGGTTGTATTCAGGCTGTGATACGTTGAAACAAAGGCAAAGACGACAAAGTGATGTCGTTTCTCTTGTAGACCACTTTTCACTCGACGTGAACTTTCTATCCTAACAGCACAAAGGAGCTGCATTCCCATGATTTCCGGTGACTAAAATACGGCATTCATTCTTTCTGGAACCTGGAGCCCATGTGCACCATTGGGTTGGAATCAGGGTTTCACAACTTCCACAGTGCCAAAGTTTTACACTTATCTTTTCCAACTCTCCCAGGCGGACCCCCAGTATCTATCAATCAGGTCATAGCGCCGGACATACGCTAGCGCCCTTTCACATCTGTGAAAAAACACCCCCGCCACGTGAAGGCAGTGAATAGGACTTCTCTGGCAGAGGTTGTGAATGCATACCAAAGCCGTTGGGTGCCAAATCAGAAGGAGATAAAAATGGAATGACTGTAAACACGAAACTGAAGCGTGGATAGGAGTGTATTAAGAATATTTTTTGTGAGAGTCTCAATTAAGAGAATAAGTATGGGAAAATGAAAACATAAGTTTAAGGAAAGTCAACCAATACGCATTAACTACCCGTATTCCAAAAAAACCTAATAACAGAGGCTGTGTGATGCAGTCATGCAACAAGAGTTAAAACAATGCTTAACACTCTCACAAGCTGCGAAATTCAAATGAAAAATCTTTTGATCGTCTTGAAGATGATTAGCAGCTCATTGCAGCAGTCCTTTATTATTAAACCAAAACACTATCACTCTACAATTTTTGGAAGATGAACCGTCCTTTTCTGTATGAAGAATTTCCATGAAATAGTAACTGCAATTTGGAAGCCTTTAAGGTTTAATCCTGCATATAAACTAGACAATTTGGCTGCATACTATGTAGAATAAAAGAAGCGAAAACCAAAATACTTTTCAAAAGTGTATTTACTTAAGAACTAAATTACATTGATCAGAGTGCCTCCACCGTTTCCTTTCATAGATGTGAATTGAAGCGGGCCATTCAGCAACGCTATACGTCATCACGCACCGGTGCGTTTGCTCAACTACAGGTACTAACTTCACTTATATTGTGAACGTTCTGGCAGTATAATGAATTCACGGGA